AACACAAATATAAAGGATCTTGATTTTCACCCAGGTGACTTGTTTTCACCTCTCATTGACCTCAATTGAAAATAACTGCCTTTTTTAACCACTTGCCCTCCTGAGGATTTACCCCCCCCCCCCCTTCCTGACCAGGCCTTTTTTTGCATTATGGCGCTACGTTACTTTAACTGACAATTGCTCTGTCATGCAACGTTGTACCCAAATGAAATTTACGTCCTTTTTTTTTTTTCCCCCACAAATTTAGATTTCTTTTGGTGGTATTTGATCCTTTTTTTTTTTTTTTTTTTTTTTTTTTTTTTTTTTGTGCTATAAAAAAAGACCGACAATTGTGAGAAAAAAAACCCAATATTTTTGACTTTGATACTTTTATAAATAAGGACCATCAGGCCTGACGTATTGCCAAGTCGGATCACTTAGACTTACGTCGTACTTGTAATTGTGTTGCTGGCTAAAAATCTGGCAGGGTTACTGTAGTACTTGATTTCACATTGTCATTCTCTCTGGTCAGGAGCAGCATCACTCCTTGATAATGGAAGTTCTGCAGAATCTCCAGAGGTGGGGGAGGGGTTAGCATTTCACTGGTTTTGTCATTTGGCTCTATGGACAACACTATATAACAGGTATATGAGTGCAGGTTTTCCTTCATTCCACATTGTTTTAAAGACTTTTAACCTATTACACATACAGTTATGTTATGCATGCAGCTTAGACTGGTTGGCATGCCTTAGGCTATTAGGTGGGGAGGGAAAGTGCTATGCTGAACCCTGGCAGAGCAATGGAGTAATCCTACTACTAAAATGAACTGGACTGGCAGTCCAACAGTCTTGGGCAGAGTACATCTTCAGAAGAGCTCCTTTTTAAGCCGTTTTTCTTACTTATAGTGGAATAAATGCATAGACATAGCAATGTACTGTTTGGGTTTATAACCAGGGCTGTTTTTCAGCAGGAATGCAGTTCCCAACACTTTCAGTTCCAAATGTATGTAATTGCAAGGGGTGCTGGATGGTTTATTGATGCTGGCTGCTGGGGGTCTATTGATGCTGGTGGGGACTTTTGTTGCTGCTGGGGTCTTGTATTGCCGGGGATCTATTGTTGGCATGGGTCTATTGTTGCTGGGGGGTTATTTTGTTGTGGGGATCTTTCGTTGGAAGGGATTAGTTAAATGGCACCGCAACACAGTTCTAAAATATTGCAGTTCATATGTGCTGAAACGGGATCCCCAGTATGGCAATCATGGTGGAGCTTTGCAGGAAATTGGGCATGAATAGCATCACAAAGCACATATTTATATACACTATATTGCCAAAAGTATTGGGACGCCTGCCTTTACATGCACATGAACTTTAATGGTATCCCAGTCTTAGTCCGTAGGGTTCAATATTGAGTTGGCCCACCCTTTGCAGCTATAACAGCTTCAACTCTTCTAGGTAGGCCATCCACAAGGTTTAGGAGTGTGTCTATGGAAATGTTTGACCATTCCTCCAGAAGCACATTTGTGAGGTCAGGCACTGATGTCGGACAAAAAGGCCTGGCTCACAGTCTCCGCTCTAATTCATTCCAAAGGTGTTATATCGGGTTGAGGTCAGGACTCTGTGTAGGACAGTCAAGTTCCTCCACCACAAACTCATCCATGTCTTTATGGACCTTGCTTTGTGCCCTGGTGCGCAGTCATGCTGGAACAGGAAGGGGCCATCCCCAAACTGTTTCCACAAAGTTGGGAGCATGAAATTGTCCAAAATGTCTTGGTTTTCTGATGCCATAAGCATTCCCTTCACTGGAACTAAGGGGCCAAGCCCAAGCCCTGAAAAACAACCCCACACCATAATCCCCCCTCTGCCAAACTTTACACTTGGAACAATGCAGTCAGGCAAGTACCGTTCTGGCAACTGCCAAACCCAGACACGTCCATCGGATTGCCAGACAGGGAAGCGTGATTCGTCACTCCAGAGAACACGTCTCCACTTCTCTAGAGTCCAGTGGCAGAGTGCTTTACACCACTGCATCCGATGCTTTGCACAGCAAGGTGATGTAAGGCTTGGATGCAGTTGCGTGGCCATGGAAACCCATTCCATGAAGCTCTCTAGGCACTGTTGTGCTAATATGAAGGCCAAACGAAGTTTGGAGGTCTTTAGCTATTGATTCTGCAGACAGTTGGTGACTTCTGCGCACTTCAGCATTCGCTGACCCCGCTCTGTCATTTTACGTGGCCTACCAATTCGTGGCTGAGTTGCTGTTGCTTCCACTTTGTTATAATACCACCAACAGTTGACCGTGGAATATTTAGTAGCAAGGACATTTCATGGATGGACTTATTGCTCAGGTGACAACCTATCACGGTACCCCCTTGAATTCACTGAGCTCCTGAGAGCGACCCATTCTTTCACAAATGTTTGTTGATGCAGTCTGCATGTCTAGGTGCTTGATTGTATACACCTGTGGCCATGGAGGTAATTGGAACACCTGAATCCAATGATTTGGAGGGGTGTCCAATACTTTTGGCAATATAGTGTGTGTATATGTATATGTACACCATTATTGCTTCTTGTCAACCAATTCAGATAGAACATATGCCATTTTCAAAAGAAGAAAATGACCCATGAGGTCCTTTGTTAGGTTAGAATTCATTGTGACATGTTCATTTAGAGATACTTATTGGGTCTCATAACCAAAAGGTTAGTAAAAAAATAAACGTCTTTTCTTGTAGCAACCAGATTCTTCCATTTTGTTTTAAAGTGTCAATCTGGTTGGCTGCAATGAGCAGGACAGGTTCCTCTGAGATGTTGATGGTGAATGAGGCATATTTACTCTGGTCAGTTTTGTGCAGAAAGTGTACTGTATGCCTGCTGAGTGGACTCTGATCTTTTAAATGGATTAGATCATCAAAAAATAAGAGGCTTATTGCAGACTATCTCATGTGGCGAGGAGGGATGGCATATCTGTACAATGGAAGCTGTCTTCTGTCACTTGCTGAATGCCATTAGTTAAGTGGTCATGTGACTGCAGCTTTCAGCACCTGCCATGTTTATGCACAGCTTAGGCTGTTATTCATATGACAAATATTTTTTAGAAGATGGGGAAGATACATTCTACTTCTCTGTAGACAAGTCACCTCTGTGGAGGAGAGGCAGACATTTTGGGCTTACTGAATGAAATCCATCAGCTGCTACTGCCTTTCCTGATAAGTCATGCTAGAAGGAAGGGATTTATGAGCTGTCTTGATATCCCATTCTCTAACTTGTGGATAGCAGTTAAACCATCGTTATTTTCAGGGTTGAGAATTTAAAGCGTAACCCAAAAGGAAAAAATGTATTGCTCCTGTGTGCTGGAGAGCCACACTTGGCAGTCACAGCCGCCAATACAAGTGCATCATTCATTTTCACATTAGTGGAGGTGTGCCACATGCGCAGGTACGCACAGTTGCAGAAAGCATTGGTGTTTACCCATACAGCCATTCACTTGTATTGGCAGCCGTGTGCAGCTCTCCGGTGGCACCAGATATCGATGGGGGGCTTTGAGCCTTAGCACACAGGAGCTACTAAGCATCCATGTTCATGAGGCCTAACTCTTAAGTATTTATTATTCGTAGATTTGCAGCTTATTGTTCTGCTAATGTGCCATAATGTAGATAAACTATTAGAAGGGGGTTCCCTGCAGGGTGGATTTGATTTAAATCACGATTTAAATCACTAGTCCGTAAGGCTTGATTTAAATCCTAGTTTTCTATATAAAGACTAATTCTTGCTGGTATAACTTTAATATGCAAGTAGATGAAGATTTTTAGAATAACTTTTCATATTAGTTTTTTTATCCCCAGTTTAATAGGTTAATCATTCATATTTGGACAACTTTTCTGTTGTACTTAGGAAGGAGAAAAATAATCATTCCCTTAATAATAACAATTTAAATAGATTTATTCAACTGAAACAATAACATTCCAGCATATGTGATTTGCTTAAACAAACATCCATGTTTGTTAACTCATTTGGCTAAACAAAATATATATATTTTAAGAAACTTCGACTGTCAGCCCCTTCCTCCTCACACTTAGTTTCACTTTCTTCTTGTGCAGATCTATTCCACTCCAAACAATCAGAAAAATATTGTTTCTATTCACTGAACTTCTTGAAACTTAGCACTGAAGGGGTTGATTCTGTATTCATAGGTTTGTAGAAGTTAGGATGAAGGTCTTTTTCTTAACTCTGTTCATGTTGTAACATTTTTGCTGTGAAGAAGAGGCATGTGATCTCCGCTGAGTCAAATTCAGTTTTGAGAACTGCAAAAGTAAACCAAGCATCTGTGATATCTTGTAGGCAGAGAAACTGCCCAATAATCTTACAAAAACCTCTGGAAGAGCATGACATTGTGAATGGATTAATGGAATTTATTTACCAAAACAATTAAACATATACAGCCTTATTCTACATAATTAAAAAACTAATCTTTATTTCATGATGGAATAACCTTTGGATGGTAATATATTTTCCTCAAAAAGCATTTTATTTAAAAAAAATCTGATTTAAATAAAAAAAAAATCCGTTTTTTTTTTTTTTTTTTTAAATCATTGATTTTTATCCACCCTAGTTCCCTGGGACCATAACAATTCCTTCACGTTAAAAAGGTTAAAGTCTGACACAAAGAATGGTTAAATCCCTTTCTGAATTAATTTGCCATCTGTGTCCCATTGGGGGGATTTCCCTTTTCTTCTTTATCCAGACACAGCAGGAAGTGAGAGTAAATCTCTTCATAGTTCCTGTTCTAGTGATAACACAAAATGTTAGATTTCCTGGTATTGGTGGCAGTGGTCACCAGTACGAGTAAAGAGGGTAAGATCTTTTTGCTGCAGCTTCAGGCAGTTGAAGGAGATAGCAACCTTGGTGTGATACAGTAAACAAAAGGTGCTGTTTTAGCATTGGTATGTTTTAATGGTGAACAGTTTAAGAATGGTGTGAATACAGGTAAAGAGAAGTCATTTAACTGTCATTTCTTCTCACAGAGTCATGGCTGTACCACCAAACTACGCAGACCTGGGCAAGGCAGCCCGTGATGTTTTTAATAAAGGCTATGGTAAGTCTTTTTCAGTGTCAAGTGCCCATAGAGCCAGCTGGCACTGCATAGAGGGGTAGATATATCAGTAGAGAGGGTATTGCCAACAGTAGCTGTGCCCTGTTTACATTATAGTACTCGTACAGTGATTTTGACAGCTGAAAGACACAATTGATTCCTTTTTTGGGGTTTTCATAATTCATACACAGGGAATTGTTTCTGGCATGATCCAGTCCAGAGGTAGCCATTCCTAGGATGTAAACATTAGAGAAAACACAAATTGGTGTTGTCTGGCTTTTTGTCACATTTATGTGGGATGATTACACTGCCAGATATCTAATGATGAGACCAGGGACGTAGATTTATATATTTTGACACTTATAGGATTAGCTGATGTCCACCCATTTTAATGCATTTATTGAACTCTGTACTGACAGTAATCACCACTGTGTCTTGATCCTGGCCCCTACATCACGGTTACAGTTGGTAGCAACAATCTATTCACAATAGTGCATAGGGACTTTTTGTATATAAAGTATTTGTAAACCTTTTAAATTAGAAATGAACAAAGCATACCCTTTACAGTGTGTACTTCTGTCCAAAACACCTAGTATGACTCTTTTATTCCTCTGCTATCTGCAAGATTCACTTCTGAAAGTCTATGCTAGAGGTGTCAAATACGGGCCACTTGAGCATTATATTTTCCCTCAAAGGGCCAGTTGTATTTGCAAGACTAAATTTCAAGAGCCCCCGCCTTACATTACAGTGCACCCCATTACCTTGTTCTTCTGCCAGGAGGAAGCTGGAGGAGGAGCAGTGAATCAGAACAGGCAAAGTCTGGAGGGAAACCAGAGGTGTCCTGGATTCTGCTGCTAATGTTGAGACCAATGGAAGTGGAGATGAAGGGGCGCTGCTGCTGCCACCTAGAGAGGTGCAGGATCTGTAGGAGGAATTCTGTCCTCTCTGATGCTGACTGCAGAGACAAGGTGGGGCGGAGTCAAGGGGCATTTATGAATAAATAACCGCGCTCTAATACTATCATATCATTAGAAAGGTGTATATTATCTGTGCAAATTCAAATATATTGGTAACTCATGATTAAATATTAATTTGTGATCCACCCAATATCACCTAATGTATAATATCTGTATTAGTGTAAAATTAAAAAATATAATCAATATGCATCAAAAAATTCATATTAAATATAAATAAAAAATTCACATTAAATATAAATCAAGAATAAATGTAAACATAAAAATAAATAATAAAGTCCAATGAATAGTTGTGCAAAAAATATCTGTGCAATATATATCTGTGCAAAAAATATATGTGCAAAAAAATAAGTGTTCCAACAAGTATTATGTATACTCTCCTTCCAGTTGATTTGTAGCAAAGTAGCTGTAGTCTTGCAGCTTTACTATAAGCCTGAGTGAATGTAAGGTTGTCTCCCTCCTTGATCCACTCCTTGGTGTAATTTTCTAAGTATCCTCGTAAATCCCATGCAAGAAAGAAAAAGAGATATGGTGCCTTATCCAAGAGGTATAGAAGTGAACTTTAATGTGCTCCCATATGCACTCACATTTTAATTGATAACAATGCACTTTTTAAAGTCTCAATAGACCGCCACACACTGTCAGCACACCCACGAGTTTGAATCTAACCGCGTGTGACGGTCTATTGATTTTAAAAACTGCATTGTTATCAATTAAAATGTGAGTGCATATGGGAGCACATTAAAGTTCACTTCTATACCTCTTGGATAAGGCACCATATCTCTTTTTCTTTCTTGCATGGGATTTACGAGGATACTTAGAAAATTACACCAAGGAGTGGATCAAGGAGGGAGACAACCTTACATTCACTCAGGCTTATAGTAAAGCTGCAAGACTACAGCTACTTTGCTACAAATCAACTGGAAGGAGAGTATACATAATACTTGTTGGAATACTTATTTTTTTGCACTTATATTTTTTGCACAGATATACATTGCACAGATATTTTTTGCATAACTATTCAATGGACTTTATTATTTATTTTTTATATTTTTTTTAAAAAAAAATTTAAATTTATTCTTGATTTATATTTAATGTGAATTTTTTATTTATATTTAATGTGAATTTTTTGATGCATATTGATTATATTTTTTAATTTTACACTAATACGGATATTATACATTAGGTGATATTGGGTGGATCACAAATTAATATTTAATCATGAGTTAGCAATATATTTGAATTTGCACAGATAATATACACCTTTCCAATGATATGATAGTATTAGAGCGCGGTTATTTATTCATAAATTATCTTATAATGAGCGCACAGTACATGAGAGTGGGCAGTTAAACCAGCGAACTAATACATTTATACTCCAGTGGCTCACAAGATAATTTACATAATATGGAGTCAAGGGGCATGCCGCAGCTGCAATAGGGGTGCAAAGGCCACATGAAATGGCCTGGTGGGCCGGATTTGGCTCACAGATCTTGTGTTTGAAACGTGGTCTATGCCCACACCAGACCATCCTGGGAGATGCCCCCTCCACAGCACACAGATGATTGACAGCCTCAGCTGTGCATGTTTCCCTGTGATACTATGTTTTGGGGGGGGGGGTTCATTCCCTCTGTTCATGTCTCAGATTGCACTCAGCTCTCTGTTGTGCAGTCTGTGATATGAGATCCCTGCCCTCTGCTGTCTGACACTCAGAAATGCTGTGTAAATTCTGGACTTTGAAGGCATCAGATAAACAGGTACAGCTTATATAGGGGGATTTTCTTCATCTCTATGTATCACTTAAGGCTAGTCACTTCAGCAGGTAGGTTTACAATTGCTATGAACAAAATATGTAGTCATGGACTTTGTGTGGACATATAGAAGAGAAACTGAGTTTCTCTCCTGTTACAGGTTTACAACCATTTTAAGTGCATACTTACATGTGCTCAATCATTGAATTAAACTGAGACCTGAAGCTGCAGGCTGTATCAAAGGAAAAATTAACTGGAAATGTGATGGCTTTGTATTGTAGGGTTCGGTCTTGTGAAGTTGGAGCTGAAGACAAAGTCCTCCAGTGGGGTTGTAAGTGGCTCTCTGCTTATATACTGTTTTATGTATATCTGTCAATACGTTTTATTTGTAATATGAACTCTCTTCCTCCTCTCCATGCGGCCTGGATAAACTACAGATGGTAAGACAAAATAAAGCTCTTGCTTTTAGTAAGGGACTGGGGCTTAGTATATTGCTTTCCACCTTAATTTCTCTGCTGCCTAATAATGCTACCACTTCAGATGGTGTCTTTTACCCACCAGTTCCCCCACTGCATATTACTGGAATTAAATATTTTAACAATTCTGCTCTATGGTAAATATGTGTCTATTTGAACATGAGCAGCCACCACAATATTGCAGGCAACAATACATATACTAAAACATAAAGATGCAGCACTTCAAATATCAAAAGATGCAATGTAAATAAAAGTCCAATTTGCATGTGAAGACAGAATAAATTCCTCTTCATTATGACACTAATATTATCATGATGCTTCAAATTTGATCAAGAAGAAGGGAAGAGTTCACCAACACCCAAAGAAATTCAGCCTCTTACCAGACCATATACACCCCCAAACGAAATGCGTAGGAAGGAGCCAGAGCGAGTGACGTCATTACGTACTGGAACGTGGCAGCCATTTTATTGGTTTGAAACATATTGTTTCCTATGGTGACATGCTGTTTTATTATTTTCATTGATGTACGTTTGATACTATGTTTTAAGATAAAAATATTTAATAAATTACTACACTAAGGATTTTTTTTGCTTTTTTAAAGTGGGACTGTCCTCTGAGGATAATCCATTTTCTGCAGGTCTACTCTCTGGAGCAATTAGTTCGGAGCCATTTTCATCATTTTGAACCATGGTTTATTTTTGGGATCAATTCAGCGGATATTTATCCACTCATTACTGGGAGACAGCTTGATCCTTTTGGAGCTATTTAGCATCCAGGTCCACATTTTGATCTTTGGGATTTCTGTCACATATTTTCACCCATCCGTAATTGGGGGTCTATATGGTCTAGTAAGAGGCTGAATTTCTTTGGGTGTTGGTGATGGTGAATTCTTCCCCATCTTGATCAAATTTAAAGCATCATGATAATATTGGTGTCCTAATGAAGAGGAATTTATTCTGTCTTCGTATGTGAATTGGACTTTTCTTTACATTGCATCTTTTGATATTTGAAGCGCTGCATCCTTATGTTTTTTTATATTACTGGAATTGTATATCTTTTTTTAATTGGGTGGAGAAAGGTCTGGTTTGCTGGGTAATGTGTGTAGTGCCATTGGTGCCCCTTTGGGATCTGGAAGTAGCAAAGCTGTGTACTGAGGATGTCTATTGCATTGTGTCTCTGTCTTACAACATGTGAGGTGTACAAGCTGGCATCATATATAGGTGTAAGTACTAACGCTGCCAGTTGGACCGGGTTATAGATAAAAGCAGATTTCAAAAGTTGCCAGTGGAAAGGGTGGCAGGTTGATTTCAGACTGAGAATTAAACCCCTTAGTTCACAAAATGATTTGAAGCCATATTAAGATGATTACGAAGCATTTGCCTTACAGAGCATTTGAGGTTTTTTTAATAACAGCGTTCAGATTGTAATAAATGTACAAGGGAAACAACTTGTAGCATCCAGATTTTAGTTTACTGCAATCAAGTAATTGATTAAATCTGTTGGTTGCTATGGTTGGATAGGTTTTGTATATCATTGCTCAGGGCACTACTTTATTGTATAAGCTCTTTGCTTTGTAGAGTAAAAAAAGTACTGACATTAGGCTGTGATGGACACGCACACATTTGTTTTTTTAATCATTCTACCAATTCCTGAAAAGCAGCCAAGATTACTTTGAGTTCCAGTTTTAGTGCATTTCTCCGTCTCTACATTTGCAGCTAGTTACTACTTGTGCAGGTGACTGCCCTACCAGAGAGAGATTTCCTAGCATGATGAAAGGTTTCTGTAACATACTCAACAGATTTACAATTCTCCGATGTCCTCTGTATTGCTTTTTCTCATACACAGCTTGATAAATATAGTATGTATCAGGTGACATAGTGGAGTGTTTCCAAGGGTCTGTATATTGTTGCTTTAGTAAAACTGCAGAAATGGATGCAGGTCAGTTACAAGTAACCTCTTTTCCTTCCTACTTTATTTCTAGGAGTTTACCAGCAGTGGCTCTTCAAACACTGACACAGGGAAGGCTTCCGGTAACTTGGAGACCAAGTACAAGGTACCAGATGCAGGAATCACCTTTACCCAGAAGTGGAACACAGACAACACCCTGGGGACTGAAGTGTCCCTGGAAGACAAGGTGAGCTATAGCACTTCTGTTTAATGGAGGAGGCAAGTATTACATGAGGAGTACAAAGGGTTAATGTCTTCCTTGTCTTAATTTGTATTTTTTACAGTTGGCTAAAGGTCTGAAGCTTGCACTGGACACTACGTTTGTACCCAATACTGGGTGAGTGGCACTTTTTCAAGAATAAAAGTTCTCTGTTGTCCATGGCATTGAGTTTAAAGTGGTAAATGTTTTCATAAGATACAACTACATAATTTACATGCTTTTTATATGTATTTTTTTAAAATAAATGTCCTGCTTGAAGCTTCCTTTTACAGTTGTCCCAAGGTCAAGCTGCTACATTGCCGTTATGTGCCACTGAAACCCAGGGCTGCTCTTAGAAACCACAGGACCCCATACAGCCAACCTGATAGGGTCCCCCCCCCCAAAAAAAAAGTTTACTATGCTTCAATTTTAATAAATACAGTTGGTGATTGGTATTGAGCACTCATTGTGCTCATTCAGGAAAGGAAGGGGCTGGTAAATGTTACTTAGTTAGCGGACCCTTCCCCTACTCTCCATCCTGAAGGATCCTATTGTGTGCTTGCAGCTGCCATTGGGCAGCACTCCAGGGGCAGGAGCACACAGGCTGGCCTGGGCAGCAGGGGGAAATGTATGGTGCACAGGGAGGGTGATGGGTGCATGGGGGGGGGGGGGTGAAATTACAGGAACTGATCCTCTATATAGCTCTCTGCAGCAACTGAAAGCCAGTGGGAGGGAGAGAAGAAGAAACCAGCTTTCAGCTGCTGCAGAGAGGGCCATACAGGAGATCGGTTCCAATAATTGCGCCCCCCCCCCCCCCATGCCTATCACCCACCTGCTGGCCTGGGCCTTGTAAAGGAGGACCAGTGGTGCCCCCTTATCCACCGCCCTGCTGGGACCTATGGAATCCTGTAGTAGTCTCTTCAATATGCATGGTTCTGCTCTGTACTTCAATTCTATGTGCAGCTGTTTAGAACGCTACACACATAGCCAGCGTGAGAGGGACACAGAGCCAGCCACTGTCAATCACTGCTGTGAAGCAGGAGGAGAGACTTTGGCTTTTGCGTTGTCCCTTTTCCACTCTGGCTGTGCGTGTGGCACTCTGAATAGCTGCATGTAGAGCTGTAGTACAATGCAGGAGTATGCATGGTGGGGAGAATTCTAAAGGTCTTCACAGATCCTGCCAGCACATGTGAGCTATGTTATTTTTATCAGATTTTGAAACACATGTGGACTCCAAAGCAGAGTTCCAGCCATTTTTGTGTTTATTAAAAATAATCAGCTGCAAAACTGTAGCTGCTGACTTTTAATAAATACACACTCACCTGTCTCGGGGTCCAGCGACGTGCTCACCCGTGCTGTCCCTTCTCTCCTTCTTGCGCCGGCATCACAACTGTGGGCACCAGGCTGCGACAGCACAGCTGGGTGCCCACTGCGCATGCACGAGTTGCGCTGTCTATCCTGATTGGTCCGGCACTCTTCTGGGACCTGTGAAAGTTCCCAGACTACGGGAGGAAGGAGGGGGGCAGAACTTCCGTCTCACTTCGCCGCGGTGAACTGAGCCGGAAGTGGGAGTGGGTGCCTGTCAAAACTAGGTATCCGCTCCCAATCCCAAATATGGCAGTGGTGGGGGGGGGGGGGAAGGAGGCAAACAAGCGGAGCTTCCACTTTTGGGTGGAACTCCGCTTTAATATCACTATAAAACTTGAAGGTTTTTTTTACCTTCATGCATTCTTCAATGTGCAGCTTCTTCTCAGCCCCCCTGTTATACTCACCTGAGCCCAATCCAGATCCAGCGATGTGCACAAGAGCAGAAGCTCCCCTGGGTCTCTGCCACCTCCTTGGCTGAGACACAGCAGCAGGAGCCATTGGCTTTCAATCACAGCCAGTGAGGAGGGAGCAAGGGGTGGGTCTCATAGAGACCCATAGCATGGCTCGGGAGCGAGCACACATGAGTGCCCCCAGAGCAAGCAGCTTGTTCTGGGGCACTCAGGGGAAAGGGGCCTGGAGCGTCGGCAGGGGACCCGAGAAGAGGAGAATCGGGGCTGCTCTATGCAAAACCATTGCACAGAGCAGGTAAATATGACATGTTTGTATAAAAAAAAAAAATGGAACCTTTACAATCACTTCCTTAGATGTAAGAATATAAAAAGAGTATTTTCTCTTTATTTAGTGACCAGACTAGATTGATGTGGACATTTACTTACATGTAGATAGCATTCTGAATCAATACACATTTGTGCCTTTTGTCCCAGGGACATACAGAATTGTTTATTGTAACAGCACACAAAATGGCCGCATGTGTGTGAACAAGTAAAGTCAATGTGCAATATAGTTAACTGGTTTGTGTGTTTCAGCAAGAAGAGTGCTAAGTTGAAGACCTCCTATAAGAGAGACTATGCAAATCTGGGAGTTGATGTTGACCTGGACCTGGCTGGTCCTACCATCACTGGCTGGGGAGTCCTGGGTTACCAAGGATGGCTGGCTGGCTATCAGATGTCCTTCGACACTGCCAAATCCAGATTGGCACAGAATAATTTTGCCCTGGGCTACATGGCAGGAGACTTCCAACTGCATACAAACGTGTGAGTGTTATTTACTGCTGCGCGTGAACGCTACTTTGTGATGGGAATTGACCTTTGTAGTTCAGTTGTTGTAATGTCTGTGCTGAATGACAGTCCTCTGGTTCTTTGTCACCCAGGAATGACGGCACTGAGTTTGGAGGATCTATCTATCAGAAGGTCAATAAGGATGTGGAGACCTCTGTGAGCCTGGCATGGGAGTGCAGGTAGCAACAACACACGCTTTGGCATTGGAGCCAAGTACCAGCTGGATTCAAACACCACCCTCTCTGTAAGTATCCTATTTACTTTATGTGGGTACTGATATTTCCTGTAATCCCTGTCTTGCACAGTTTCAGGATTGATGTCTGTGGAATAAACCACTTTGTAATTTCCTAAATCCAGGACTTTGCTAAGAATTGGAGAGCAACATTAGGCAGCTATCAGTAGTAAAGTAATTTGGCTGGAAAATGGGAGGGTGGTGATTTAGAACTCCAGTGCATCTGTTGGGGTTTCTTCATCATTCAAATGTTAATTTTTTTTTTGCTGGATTGCAGGGTAGTTACAGCTTTTCCAGCATCTTTAAGTGGAACTTAACTCACAAAGTGAAGATTTGTTCTACTATTGGGGATAGTGCTTAGGTAGTACCCTACAAACATCCTGGTATGTAAGTATGCCTAGACAATTATTCATTTACAGCCTCATAGCCGCATTTCTATATGAGTTGTAAGGCACTTCTGTGTCTGACTGCTAGAAGATTTGCAGTGAGATTTTGGGATATTACTGCTATGCAGCTCACTAATCTCCTTGCTGGGGAGCTCTGACAGCAGGAAGCAAAGTCCTGCTTCTACCAAGGTGGCCGCTTCCACACAGTGCAGAAGATTGCATGGTAGATCAGTGATGAAGAAAAATCAGCTGCAGGGAGACCCAAAGCAATAATGATGGCTAGTTCTTTGCACACTGCTTTCCTTTTAATGGTCATCAGTTCCAGAGTTAATTTCCTTACTTGACCCTTGTACTGCAGCTGAGGCTGTGTTTTGTTTGCTTTGTAATATACCAAGCAGAGATGTGTCACAGGACTATACAAAAGCCTTCATATATTCATGGGACAAGAGGTGAATGTCACACAGGACAACCATTTTTTTTTTATAGATCTGCACCTAAAAAACAGCCCCCAACCTACTCCAAATTTTGGATATAATTGGTGGCAACATAATTTTTTCTCTTTTTTTCTAGGCCAAAGTTAACAATGCCAGTTTGATTGGAGTGGGCTACACACAGAGCTTGCGGCCTGGTATGTGCTGGCTTTCCTCTTTTCTTGTTCATTTGTGTGTTTCTGAAGTAATCTTATGTCTTGAATTGTTTTGACTCGCTCTATAATAATATAATTCAGGGGTGTGGAAATTTTTGAAAAAAACTACTTGTCCAAGGACTAAATCTGGGTCCCAATCTACTTGTCCAGATAAAATTTTTTTTTTAACAAAAATCTGTATCTAAATCTGAGGTGTTTTTAGGAATGTGTGGGGCTTTATGGCAACTTAAACATTAAATTTTTTTAACATTGTGCTGTATAGTTTCTCCTCCCCTCCCTGCCTGTCTCCAGCACCGCACCTGGGGACTAGCAGGGAGGGAAGAGACCTTGCAGTGTAATGAGCACTGATTGGGTGCTCCTCAGAAAAGGGGAGTGTCGGGCTTATCCTTTATCCCTTTCGCTGCCAGAGCCGTTTTTGTGTTTGAAGATTTTTCATTTTGGGCTTGAAGATTACAAAAATCTGCAAACATGATATTTTCTGAAAGCAGAGATCCTAGAGAAAAAAATAGTGGTAGCACAATATTACCACAACGGTCTAGAAAATGCAAAATGTCAGTAAAAAATACACTTAAGTTAATTTTAGGGCACAAAACAGCAGTAAATTATGCTATTTTTTGGTAAAATGTAAAAGATGAGGTTACACCGAGTAAATAGTTATTCAACTTGTCAAACCTTAAATTTACATGCACTCGTAAAATGGCAGCAAACTTCAGTACCATATATTTTCTATAGGCGACCCTTTTAAAGTCCTTATACAGTGAAGGAAATAAGTATTTGATCCCCTGTTGATTTTGAATGTTTGCCCACTCACAAAGAAATGATCAGTCTAAAAATCGAATGGTAGGTGTATTGTAACACTGAGAGACAGAATAGCAACAAAAAATTCAAAAGAAATGCATGTCTAACAAATTAAGCACTGGTTTGCATCTTCATGAGGGAAATAAGTATTTGAACCCCTATCATTCAGCAGGATTTCTGGCTAAGAGGTGTCTTTCATACAGGTAACAAGCTGAGATTAGAAGCATTCTCTTAAAGGAATGCTGCTAATCTCATTTTGTTACCTGTATAAAAGACACCTTTTCCCAGGAGCAATCAAACAATCAGATTCCAAACTCTCCACCATGGCAAAGACCAAAGAGCTGTCTAAGGATGTCAGGAACAAGATTGTAGACCTACACAAGGCTGGACTGGGCTACCAAACTATCGCCAAGCAGCTTGGTGAGAAGGTGACAACAGTTGGTGCAATCATTCGCAAATGGAAGAAACGCAAAACAACTGTCAGTCTCCCTAGGTCTGGTGCACCATGCAAGATCTCACCTCGTGTAGTGTCAATGATCATGACAACAGTGAGGAATCATCCCAGAATTACACGTGAAGATCTTGTCAATGATCTCCAGGCAGCTGGGACCACAGTCACCAAGAAAACAATTGGTAACACACTATGCCGACAAGGATTGAAATCCTGCAGTGCCTGCAAGGTCCCTCTGCTCAAGAAAGCACATGTCCAGGCCCATGTGAAGTTTTTGCCAAAAAGTCCCCTATGTGATTTTTGGTGACAGGTTCTCTTTATTGAGACATCCAGGGTCTAAAAGACCATGCATGTCTCCCCTGATTGTAATACAGTGTACATCACACTGCATTACATTATTTCTGTGACCGGGGACCCAGAAGTGACATCATAACGTCACTTCCAGGGTAGGACAAGAATGGGAGGGGAGTGGACGTGTCTGCTCTCCTTCCTCCTTTCTAGCCACCGGTGCATGCTGAACCAGTCCCAGGCCCGCAAATGGGCAGGAGGAGTCCGACAGACATGGCGGGCGGAGGTTTGCACGGGAAGGGACGGAGGCTGACACCGTAGTGGGCTGTGTGAAAGCAATCGGGTGGCAGCGCAGCTGCCCGAATGCTTTCACCTGACAGGTGAGCCCTGCTGCTTGCCCACAGTAGGGCTGAAGGTTGAAAAAAAAAAAAAAAACTACCTGCCCGGCGCTTAGAACTACATGTCCCGGGCGTCAGGCGATACAAATTCAACATCCCTGTAATTGAGGATACAGGAACATTTGCTGTGGTTTACATTTAAAACAAGATTGTCGTAGTTGTGCTGGTATCAGCGAAGCTTTGCTTTGTTCATTTTGCGACTTTTATGCAAACCTAGTACACACTAATTAATGAAAGCTGATATAAGTCCTTTAACAGACTCTGTAAACAATTGGAAAAATGTCTGATAAAAGCACAGAAAAAATGCTTACTTTTCAGCAGTTTTCTTCTCCATTATTGTTTTTTATTCACTTTCAGTATGCCTCTGTAAAAATAACGACTTCTTTGGGATAAGTCTGTTCCCTAGCGCACATTTCCCCTCCCTTCTTGCATGTCATAGATTTCTCTTCTTCTGGGAGTGTCTAATTACTGCTGCTGTGTTGGCCCAGCTTTGCACCACTACAATACTATAGAGTGTCACTTGATTGACAGATTGACATTGTCTGCTGCCATCACATCCAAAATGGTAGACCCCAGCAGCAGTCTTGAACCTTTTGGATGTCTACACAAGGGAGGCTTTACAAGTAATTAACATGCATAAAGTACATTCAAGTGGTAGTAAAGTCATTTTTTTTAAACTTGTACCTACACGCGCATGTGCAGGCGTAATGTCATCGCGGCTCGGTCAGTCAGAAGGCTGGAGCACGCAATCCTGGAAGGAAGAATGGGTGAAGATTGAAGCCTTGTCAGCAGTGACACTGGAGGGTTTCGTTTTACGTTAAATACTTAATAATATGCTAGTATGTGACGCATACTAGCACATTATGCCATTGTCTTGCAGGTTTAAAAAAAAAAAAAAAAGCCATGGTTTACTACCACTTTAAATGTACATATAACTTTATGGTAAGATTTTTGTTGAAGTAAATGGTCTGGTGACAGGGTCTCTTTAAAATCAGGCAGGAAGCGGTGCCTGCAATATGCCTCTAGGATTCTGAGTGCTCTGGATATCCCTAGACTTGGGGATCTCTGTACATGGATGACCGCTTCCTGCTGTGAAGTCAGCCTTGCTACAGAAACCAAGATCTTATTGATAGCTGCGATCATCACTTTTCAGTTCTTTTCACATTAGTCTTGTTAGCAAATTGTATTTAAAATTTAATGAAGCAATATACTTCGTAATGATGCAGGATGTTTCACCATTGTGCTGGTTTGAACTGGGAACAAATAAACCAATAGAACTTTTGTGCTGCCTGTGCTTACTATGTCAGCCATAGTGATAGAGATGAATACACATTATGGCCTCATGCACAGAAACAAATGCAGCTTTTAGATGCATTTTCAGTTTTTTTCTTTTTTTTTTTCTTTTAATGCCTATGAAGGTAGCTGCATTTCAGCCAATGTGTCCATGCACAGTGGAGTTTTAGATTTGTATTTTAGAGCAGTGTTCAAGGGGGAACAGAGAGGAGCTTACTGGCATAATTTATGCACATACGTGGCTAAATCCAAATAAAGGTTTGTAAACTAATTTCACCACCAGTTATATTATTTGCTGGGATATGCATTTATTCTGAGTTTATGCACATACACTCCTAAATGTCATATGCTTGTAAATGGGCATAATTGAATGCCAAAAGGAGCATTTTTATTTTTTGCTGGATTTTTCTGCCAGCTCCTAGCAGAAAGAACAAGCGTAGATAGAAGTATGCCTAAAATGTATGATTACCAATAGACTTGTGAAGCACATGAAGGGCAACATTAAAATCAAAATATCTGATGAGCACTTTGAGAATTGCTACTGCATCCATTGAACTATATATTGATGTGTTAGTTTACCAAAAACTTTGTCAGATATTGCACTAGTTTTATGTTGCCCTCTTTTACATGTATAATAAAAAATATTACAAAAAAATGAAGTTTTATTACTCAGGGTAATTGTCTATATCAGTGATCGTTCACTGTGCCCTGCTCATCAGCTATCCTTATTGTTCGTGTATTTTATGTGTGGCCCAAGACCATTCCTCTTCTTCCAGCATGGCCCAGGAAAGTGAAAAGTTTGGACACCCCTGCTTTTAAAGCATGCCTATGGTCAAAATGTAAACTCCTATATTCATTTCCACATTGTATTTCAATTATTTTCAACCTACTACTAATAATCTAAATGATCGTGTGTGTATCAACACAAAGTTTCAAACTTAATTTGCGTCCTTGCATTCTGTGACATGTAATCACTATGTCCTGTGTGAGTAGACACTGCTGTGTCATACATGTCACAGAACCTGCCTTCTAATTTTCGGAGGAGTTTCAGGAGGTACAGTTGGTACAGGAGTTGCAGCTTGCAGGCAGCAAGGTACCATAGAAATGGAAAGTAAACAGAAGAGGAGAACTGCTAAGCATGTAGGGAATCCAGAAAGTTGTGGCAAGAGATGGCCAGCAGAGAGGCAGCGCTCACAACATGGAAGGAGATTTCAAGTAAGCGTATATTGGATTGTCAATAACTATTATTTGTAATATTACTATAATGCTGATGTTAAAAAAAATGAAAGCATAGTCTGTGACCTTAGATTTCCTTTAAGTACACCCGCCATCCAGAGTTTCTCTTTTATTGCAGACTCTGAGGAAAGCTTATTGTAGGTACTTTGGGGGGAAAAAAAAAAAATCATATTCTGTGTGTCAGCTGTTTTTTTTGCAGGGTTTACATTTCCTGCGGTTATGACTGTGAGTTACTCTGGATCTGTTGTGCGCTGCATTTTATTGTGAAAACACAAATATGTGAACTACAGTATTATGTATTCTTCCATTATAGAAATGATGAAAAATCAAAAATAGTATTCTCACTATATGCATTATCTTTTAAAACATTATGGTCACTTTGATACCATATTGTAGTGACACTGCATCACCCAATTCTGGTAAACAAATAGGTGTGTGAGGGAGGGACTGCTATCTGTCACTTGAGGGTAGTCCACAGATTTCCATTTTAACCAGAAATTATACTTTTATTTACAGGTGTGAAGCTGACTGTCTCTGCTCTGATTAACGGGAAGAACTTTAGTTCCGGAGGTCACAAGGTGGGCTTGGGCTTTGAGCTGGAAGCATAAGGAGGTGTTTGTCATGTGAAAATCCTGGAGCCCCAGCCCTTCTTCCCACAAGAGACGACCACAAACCAGATGTGATTCACTCGCACAGAGCATGAGATGTACGAGCAGTGCCAACGGCCCCTTCATCTTCAGAAGCTGCGTGCAGAGGTTGTGGAGTAGTGTTACCCTTTCCACAGCTTCAGGAGAGGGTAATACTGCTCCAAGGTTGTCACTTCAACATCCTTCTCTATGACAGTCTGAGATGTAGAAATGGCCATAAATCACCTGATGTCCCTTTAGGGAATTAGGCTGGTTCTCTTGAGTAGCTCTACGGAGATCACAATTTTACCCCATTCCTCTGATCTGTATTCCAGCAGCATCAGGCTGTTATTTGCAATGTACACTACAGTTTACCGTAAGAAGCCATTTCCATAGTTCCCAGGAAATTCTACATAGGTGTTGAGCTAGTTGTCTGATTGCAGTAGGTGGGTCTTGCCCCTCTGATAGTTGCTTTTACAATGAAGTTGTAGCACTTTGTCCAGGGCAAGGCAGAAATTCTGGCCAGGGTCCTGTCTATAGCAATGACAATGCTGCTCATCCTACTACTGTTCCAATAATGCACACCCCATTGTCGAGAGTGTTATCATGAAGTAATTTAATATTTGAGATATTGTAATAAAGATGGCCACCTGCACACTGGAAAATGTAGTCTGTTTGCTGCTGTTTTGCGTTTCTATTGAAGTTAAATAATGTATTTGATTTGACTCAGGGTTTGGTATTCCCATATAGAAAGATTATGGCATGCTGGTAAAACGTTTAGACACAAAACTAACTTTTATGCAAGATATTTGGGAGTTTATTTGCCTTGTCAGGTCATTACCAACACTTCTAATTATATAGGACTGTCCTAAATAGGAAATTTGGATTCTATAGGTACCTGTGTCAACGGGGGCTGGTACTCAGATCTGTCATTGGCCGTGTCCGAGGTACACAGCTGGTGACAGATCGCGCCGCTGCGCGGCTCTGCAACCGCGCATGTGCCGGAGGACGCCAAATGGCGTATACCCCGGAAATCTGCAGCATTTTTGCGGCCGCCAAACGGCTATAGGCCGGGCGGCTAATTGTTAAGAGCTGATTCACACATATGCAGTGCGGATAGCAGCTCAGGTTTCACAGCTAATTGATCAGCGGTTCAGGATAGGATTAGCTCAGGATTTTATCCTGTTCACACATAAGCAGTTTAGAAACGGTTCCCATAGAAGTCAATAGCCTGTAATCCGCACCTGAACCTGAAGGCACAGCTCAGAAATTGTACGACTCATTTTTAAACCGCACTGCCAGTGCACTGGGACATGCACTATATTGCCAAAAGTATTGGGACACCCCTCCAAATCATTGGATTCCAATCACCTCCATGGCCACAGGTGTATAAAATCAAGCACCTAGGCATGCAGTCTGCTTCTACAAACATTTGTGAAAGAATGGGTCGCTCTCAGGAGCTCAGTGAATTCAAGCATTGTACCATAATAGGTTGCCACCTGTGCAATAACTCCATCCGTGAAATTTCCTTGTTACTAAATATTCCACAGTCAACTGTTAGTGGTATTATAACAAAGTGGAAGCAACTGGGAACAACAGCAACTCAGCCATGAAGTGGTAGGCCACGTAAAATGACAAAGTAGAGTCAGTGCATGCTGAAGTACAGAAGTTGCCAACTGTCTGCAGTGTCAATAGCTAAAGACCTCCAAATTCCATGTGGCCTTCAGATCAGCACAACAGTGCATATAGAGCTTCATGGAATGGGTTTCCATGGCTGAGCAGCTGCATCCAAGCCTTACATCACCAAGTGCAATGCAAAGTGTTGGATGCAGTGGTGTAAAACATGCCACCACTGGACTCTAGAGCAGTGGAGACATGTTTTCTGGAAAGACTAATCATGCTTCTCTGTCTGGCAATCCGATGAATGTGTCTGTGTTTGGTAGTTGTCAGAATGGTACTTGCCTGACTGCATTGTGCCAAGTGTAAAGTTTGGTGGAGGGGGATTATGGTGTGGGGTTTTTTTTTCAGGGGTTGGGCTTGGCCCCTTAGTTCCAGTGAAGGAAACGATTAAGGCGTCAGCATACCAAAACATTTTGGACAATTTCATGCTCCCAACTTTGAGGGAACAGTTTGGGGATGGTCCCTTCCTGTTCCAACATGACTGCGCACCCGTGCACAAAGCAAGGTCCATAAAGACATGGATGAGAGAGTTTGGGGTGGAGGAACTTGACTGGCCTGCACAGAGTCCTGACCTCATAGAACACCTTTGGGATGAATTAGAGTGGAGACTGTGAGCCAGGCCTTCTCGTCCAATATCAGTGCCTGACCTCACAAATGTGCTTCTGGAAGAATGGTCAAACATTCCCATAGACACTCCTAAACCTTGTGGACAGCCTTCCCAGAAGAGTTGAAGCTGTTATAGCTGCAAAGGGTGGGCCAACTCAATATTGAACCCTACGGACTAAGACTGGGATACCATTAAAGTTTATGTGCTTGTAAAGGCAAGCATCCCAATACTTTTGACAATATAGTGTATGTGAACAGGCACCATAGGAAGCAATGTTTTTTCACATGTTCTATGGCTCAAACTGCATCCAATCAGCATATATGTGAACCGGCAACAAGACCTATGTAGAGGGTCTTAAATCTAGTTAGATGTTTGTAATCCTGCCTGGTTTCTCTGCGATTCTGATTCTCTGAAGTTGATAGCCTGATTCCTTGTTTGTCTGATGGTCCATATAAGAGTCAGGCTGCATCTTGGTCCACCATTATTATACAGGATTTATTTAGCACCAACAGTTTGCTCAGCGCTTTACAATATAAAGGGAGACAATACAGTAACAATACAGTTCAATACAAGAGGGATATGAGGGCTCTGCTCCATTTCAAGGTGGATTTGTCTGGTCGAAAATGGCAAGGTTCCTCCTTTCCAGGTCAAGGCATATTTAACCAAAAGTGATTACTAGGCTTCTGTTCAAGTTTGAAATGCTGCTGTTATTCTCTTCACGTTTGCCTAGTTCTACAAGGTAGATGTTTATCCCTCCATGGATTCCTTTTGTTGGAGTACATTACAGGACACAAGAGATCCCTCCCATATTTCTTGTGTTCCTCATTACTGGTTAGCTAGCTGTGCTGGCAGGGGTTATGACAGGGTGGGGATCCCTGCTTTTTTTGGTCAGTGTCCTTTCACTTGAAAGTGGCAGCATAATCCAACTAGTCATGTACAGTATATGATGCCCTGTGATGTAGGTCAGGAAAAGTATTTTACAGGTAAACCAAAATCACCCATCTCTCCATTGCCTGAATGAGGTTTAGGCTGATTGTCTCTCAGACATTGCTTCTTTCAGGAAAATGGATTCCTTTTTGTATTCTTGCATGGACCACATAACGATGCACCATTTCACTATCTTTAGATGGCTTGGGCAGGACATTGTCTATGCTTATTGCCTTAATATGTATTTAAGGTCAGGTTTCACAGCTCATTGACACAGTAGTTGTTCAGTGGTTTAACCTCTAGCCTACCGGGTACTTTCACCCCCTTCCTGCCCAGGCCAATTTTCAGCTTTCAGTGCTGTTGCACTTTGAATGACAATTGCGCAGTCATGCATCACTGTACCCATATGAAATTTTTATAATTTTCTTAAGACAGAGCTTTATTTTGGTGGTATTTAATCACCACTGTTTTTTTTATTTTTTGATAAACTGAAAATTTTGAAAAAAAAAAGTTTTTTTTCTTAGTTTCTGTTAGAAAATTTTGTAATTGAGTAATTTTTCTACTTCACTGATGTGTGCTAATGTGGCTGCAGTGATGGGCATTCACAAACATCACTGATGGGCATTGAAAGGCAGTACTCATATATGGCACTGTTAGGTGGCACTGAAAGGCAGCTCAGATGGGCACTGATATATGAAATTGATGTTCACTGGTAGGCACTGATATGTGGCATTGATGGGGCTGCCCTGATGATCAGTGACCTGATGATCAGTGTAGATGTCTCCTCCTGAGGAATGCCGATTACCGGCTCTCCTCTTGGTTTTGCCTCAAACTGCATTTTTGATGCCACCCCACAAGTTTTCTATTGGATTAAGATCCGGGGATTGGACTGGCCACTCCATAACGTCAATCTTGTTGGTCTGAAACCAAGATGTTGCACGTTTACTTGTGTGTTTGGGGTCGTTGTCTTGTTGGAACACCCATTTCAAGGGTATTTCCTCTTCAAGTATTCTGATGTATTCAAACTGATCCATGATCCCTGGTATGCGATAAATAGGCCCAACACCGTAGTATGAGAAGCATCCCCATATCATGATGCTTGCGCAACCATGCTTCACTGTCTTCACAGTGTACTGTGGCTTGAATTCAGTGTTTGGGGGTCGTCTGACAAACTGTCTCCGGCCACTAGACCCAAAAAGAACAATCTTACTTTCATCAGTCCACAAAATGTTGCGCCATTTCTCTTTAGGCCAGTCAATGTGCTCTTTGGCAAATTGTAACCTCTTCAGCACGTCTTTTTTTCAACAGTGGGACTTTGCGGGGGCTTCTTGCAGATAGCTTGGCTTCACATAGGCGTCTTCTAATTGTAACAGGACTCACAGGTAACTTTACACCTTCTTTGATCTTCCTGGAGCTGATTGTTGGCTGAGTCCTTGCCATTTTGGCTATTCTATCCATTCGAATGGTAGTTTTTCGCTTTCTTCCACGTCTTTCAGGTTTTGGTTGCCCTTTTAAAGCATTTGCGATCATTTTAGTTGAGCAGCCTATCATTTTCTGCACTTTATATGTTTTCCCCTCTCCAACTTTTTAATCAAGGCACACTGTTCTTCTGAACAATGTCTGGAACGACCCATTTTTCAGAATTTCAGAGAGAAATGCACTGTAACCAGCATGTACAACATTTGCTGCCTTCCTTCCTTAACTACTTGCCGACCGCAGATAGCCGAATGACGGCTACACTGCGGCCGGCCAGTTCTGGGTGGGCGTCATAGGACGTCCTCCCAGAACGCACTCTCCTGCGTGCCGCCGGCGATCTCCGTGATCTCTGTGTCCTACGGACACAGCTGATCACGTGATGTGGTAAAAGACCAATCACAGCGGCCTTTTACCACGTGATCAGCCGTGTCCAATGACACACTGATCACCGGGAAATGCAATTGCCGGTTCTCGGCTGCAATTTCCTCACGCTGTCAGATCGATTGTTAGAGCAGGGATCGGTGCCCAGCAGTGCCACTCACAAGTTCCCACCCAGCAGTGCACCCACCTGTGCCCAGAAGTGCCACCTACCTGTGCCCACCAGTCAGTGCCACCTATCAGTGCCGCCTATCCATGCCACCTCATTAGCGCTGCCTATCAGTGCCCTTCAGTACTGCCTATCAGTGCTGCCTCATCAAAGCACATCAGTGAAGGAGAAAAATTACCTGTTTGAAAAATTTTATAATAGAAAGAAAGAAACTTTTTTTTTTTTTCAAATTTTTTGCACTTTTTTTGTTTATAGCGCAAAAAGTAAAGCGCCCAGCGGCGATTAAATACCACCAAAAGAAAGCTCTATTTGTGAGAAAAAATGATAAAAATTTCATATGGGTACAATCTTGCATGACCGCGCAATTGTCAAAGTGTGACAGCGCTGAAAGCTGAAAATTGGCCTGGTATAGAAGGGGGTATAAGTGCCCGATAGGCAAGTGGTTAAATAAGGGCAATAATTACCACCTGTTTTTCAAAGAATGAATGACCTCACTAATAGAACTCCACACTGCTATTATTTTGAACATGCCCCTTTCAATTAGTGATTCAATTACACAGAATCAGCAGCATGCATTTCATGACTGTTGGATTTCTATTACTCTACTACACCTGCTAGTAAATTATTTGCCATGTAGAAATATCATTTCTACCAAAAACAGTGATTGGTCAGGTTAGTGATGTCTGACTGCTATTATTTTGAACGCAACTGTATGTGTGTGTATATATGTGTGTGTATGTATATATATATATATATATATATATATATATATATATATATATATATATATATATATATATATATATATATATATATATATATATATATATCTCTGCACTTAAGGATTGTGTTCCACTCTTTTCCAGCAAGGTGCACTCTACTAGATTTGTGAGGGCTTTTTTTGGCATCAAGCAACTACTTCCAAGATTTGCACTGCTGCCACCATGGTTTTCTGTTCACACGTTCTACCAGGTAGCCGGTTTGTCCTCATCTGATTTTAGGTTTGAGTGTAAAGTCCTTTAGACATCTCCATGAGCTACAGACAGTCCCTAGGCCTATTGTGTGTTTTTGTTTTTTCCCCTAGGTCCTGTTAGCACTTGTTTTCTGTGTTGCTCTGTACCCATCATGTAATTGGGATATGCAAACACAGACATCTTGAATTGCAGCCTATGAGACAACCTCAATTCGATCCAGTGGACTAAGTAAACATAGGCTCTCAGGTACAGAAGTCTGTTATTGACAGGATTACCTACTGAAAATGAGATAATTTAAACAACATGCAGCCACTACATCCAGCTGGTATGCTGCAATATATTACATTTAGATATGTTTTAACATATCAAGAAAAAATGAGACAGGCCTGCTGCTATGCAGTTGTGTTTGTATAACAGGACATATTTTCTTTAAAGACACATTGGCAGATCATTGAGTAACTACAGATTTTTTTTTTTTTTTTTTTCACTAACGTTTATTGTATGTTTGGTGTCACGTAACATTCTAGACCTTCTTTAGAGGTATGCATTTAGCTGCATATAGTCCAGATATTTTACAACCACACAGGTAGTGTCAGGGTAGCCACATCATTATAAACATAATTTTTATTTTCCTGTTCTCATACTTGTTTCTGATGCTACAGTATAAAATATGCCTTGAAAAACACTGGAAGAACTGTACTCTATAGAACCCAATGGAAAGCATTCCCTTATGATATAACCTTTAAAAGAATTATGTAGGCTTCTATGCCTGACATCTTTCTGTAAATACTAGTTACCTGTCAAGTAACTAGCAGTTTCAGTAAAAGATTTGCCATGGAATACTAATTAAAAAAAAAAAAGTATAAATATTAAAAATGCATCACACAGGATGTTGATACTGACCTTTAAGGATTATCTCTATGTTAAAGCACAAAGCCAGCTACAGCTGGCTTGGTCTTCCTCCAGTCAACCCCCCTCCCCCAAGGAGGTTATTACACTGTTGCTAAATTGTCTTTCAGAGCTCATTCACACTTGTGCGACTTTGGGTTCCAAAGCCCATGTTTCCCAATGAGTGCCATTCATATCTGTGCGCCTTCAAGTAGTTCCTGCACTACTTTGGTCTAACTTTTATGTAACTTGAGGGCCATAAACTTCAATAGAAACCCTCTAAAGTCACACGTGCGACTTTGTACGGCACAAACAAATATCCTTCGCCTAAGTCGCACGCATATCGCAATGAAAATCAGATGATTTAAGTCCAAATTCAAGTGTGAATGGAGCCTTATTTACTCATTCTACCTTATAAAGTATCACCAAGGACACAATCACTTGGCTGAAGTTCTGGCACAGAATGGTAACTGAGGGGGATAAACATGCCTGTGGAGCTCCATAGATATAAGAACCCAATATGAGATTCAACTTTCCAGCAAACACACAACACTAATTTTGCGTAGAGCTGGACTTAAAGCAGAAGTCTAAGCACAGGTCTGCAGGATTGTGGCTTTATGCTTGAATTTGTATTTACACCAGGGACAGTACAGCTCTCGTTTTACATCCAGCCATTGTAGCTTTCATGCACAGAAGAGCTAGTGTTGCTTATATACCCTCTTCCCTTGGTAATTCACAAAGCGCTTTGAATAAAACAGCAATTTATCCATGGGATAGAGGCAACCAATGTTTACATATCCAAAAAAAAAAAAAGCCTATGCCTGCAGTTCTGCTTTAACACCAATGCTCCTTATCCAAGTTTGGGTCAGTGGTGCTGTTACTCTGACCAACTTTGTATCATCTGCCACTCCAATAGCTGTGGTTTTTAAAATAAAAACAAAAAATGCAGCCAGCCCTATCCTCTGGGAGCATGAACAAATGTACGGCAAGCAAGATGGCTCTGGTTGCTATGCACATTGCCATGAACACCTGAATGTTGCTGTCTGCATCCGAGATGTTCATCTTCAAGTAATTATTTTTTGTTTTCTAAAGCTAAAACTGCACCTATTCTTTAAAGAGACTCATTTTTGCTATACAAGCCCCAGATCCACTTACAAATTTCACACTTCTCCACCATAGCCACTGTAAATACCGAGTGCATCCAGGTATGAGAATGTGACTTCCTACTGTGATGCAGTGCTCAGGCCTAGCAGTCAATCACCAAAGACGGTGACATAGCAGTGATGGAGGAACAAATGCCAAGAAACACCCTAATGGGCAAGGTTAAAGAGTCTCCTAAAATGAAATCTTCCTTTGCCAAAAAATGTTTTCCCAGTTAAGACCAAAACACCCATGCTGAGAGATTTCAAAATAAAAATGACCTTTAAATATAATAATTCATATGTAAACAGTTTTTGCTACATCTTAATTATCAAAGTTTCTACTACATTACTATTTAACTAGAACACTCACAACCCACACACCAGTATGATCTCATTAACACACACAACCGCACAAACTGTACACAGCATCTCTTATATTATGTAGATTATCCAGGAATGGTGATGTTCCCTTGGATGGATAACACTGGAGCTTGTAATAAAAACTGGCCATCCCTTTTCACTCACTCCTGTCTTTTGGCTCACGATATTTATACTGGATGTAGTCAAAGATGTCCTTCTCGCTGTCTATTGGGAGGGGTTCACCCGCAACTCCTGTGAGGAAAAATAAAAGGTTAGATGCACATCTATGTTCCTGCAACAAAAAGATATTCCTATATCCAAGGCAACAGAGGCCACAAGAATCACTATATACCAAACATAATGCTAAGGGAAAAAAAAAAAAAAAAAAAAAAAAGCAGAGGCACTCCGCAAAAGAATACTTACCTGAACTGTGAGGGACAACTCTGACCTTTTAGCTCTTGCAAAGCTATGGCAGGAGCTGGCATTCAACATGTCTGAGTGTCAAATGTCATGTCTCACTGCTGGGAACTGGTGCCACCTGACAGCAGTTACAGGACAAAGAATAGTCCAGTACCAGCTAAAGTTGGAATTCTTCAAGGTCCCATTTAAATTATGCGATTGAGTAATTTCTGCAAACTGAAATTCCACATTTAAAGCAGAACTCCGAGCAAAATTTGTTTTTCTCTGTACAGTGGGACTGAGCCTGCACTGCATGGGTTAACTGCTCATTTTGTTCTAGGGCAGGGGTGGGCAGCTGTGTCCCTCCAGCTGTTGATGAACTACAAGTCCCATCATGCCTCTGCCTTTGGGAGTCATGCTTGTAACTGTCAGTTTTGCAATGCCTCATGGGACTTGTAGTTCTACAACAGCTGGAGGGCCACAGTTGTCCAACCCTGTTCTAGGGGGAAAGAACAGCCCAGATATACTTACCTGAACCACCAATCCTCCCCGCACAAGACCAGTCCCTTTGGCTCCTGCCTCCCCCAATTCAGCTGTCTACAAAATGGACTTCCTGATGTCAGCGTGCTCCATAGATAGGAACAGTCCACCGCTGGACCATGGGGGAGCACAGTTTTCTGGAGGATCGGTAGATCAGGAGATTGTGAACTTTGTGCAAACCCCCCCCCTAAAAATGAGCAGTTGACCCAAAAAAGTAAAAAAAATTGTGCCCAGAGTTGAGCTTTACTTAAGCTCTGGAGGTAATTCCCTTGAAATCTGAACAGCCTATTTGCATTTAATAAATCAACACCAGTGTCTGTAGAGAACTGCCCATAGGAGGTCATGTACTGGCCAAGTCTAGGGGTTGAGATGGGAAAGACTTTAAACTTCTTCGTGATAATAGGTATTTTTGTTCCTTTGAGTAAGCAATGATTCAAGTCACAAAGTATTACAACTTTTTTTTCCTTAGATGCTTACAAAGTGCTCAGGCAATGTAGAAGGTTCTCATTCTCTGTTGTACCTGTAGAGCTATCCACTGACAGGAGATGACAGCTGGCTCCATTCACACTGATCTGAGTGTTTTCAGGCGTTTGTTCAAGCATCTTTGAGCCTTTTTTAAGCAGATTTGCAATTATTATAGGCAGGCCTTTTTATTTAGGCATTTTTGCTGTGGCCAATAGAAATAGCTGCTGTTTGAGCTGGAAACACCTGAAAAAAACTCTTGAAAAAAACAGCTCATTTCCACTGTTCAGGCAATTTCCATTCAAGTCTATGGGGACAAATTCCCAGATCTGCCTGAAAAGTAGTGCAAGTACTTCTTTGAGTGACAGGCGTTTTGCTATAGGTGACTAAACGCTCATATGTGAACAAGGGCCATAGAAATGTCTTGGATTTTGCTTGTTGAGCGTTTCTGATCGTCAGGCGTCGAGTTGAACAACGACCTAGTGGGAATAGAGCCTTACAGCACAATAATCTCATTTCTATGAAATCCCTCACTGACCGTGAGACAAACAACTGAGCAGGTTGGAAAGTGTACTGTTACTCTCCTTGGTCTGCGGTCTTTCTTGCCTGGGGTGGTCAGTGCAACAAACTGACTTCTGCAGACTATGGAAAGCTCAGCAGACCTAGCAGAGACATTTGTGACAAATCAGCATTTAGGCTTGTTGAGATTTAATTTATTTTACTCACTTTCTTTTCACCATTATAATAGCTATTAGTCACTACTAGTAAACCTTTTTTCTTAAGTGCAACTAACCAGTATTCAGCTTATAGACCAGGGGCGGACTGACAACTCATGGGGCCCCCGGGCAATAGGGGATCATGGGCCCCCGGGCAATAGGGGATCATGGGGCCTCGGTGTCCTTGCCCAAACTCAAAAAAGCCTATGAAAAAGGTACCAGGGGCATTTCATGGGGCCCCCTACTAACCCCAGGCCCTCGGGCAGTGCCTGAGTTTCCAATGGTCAGTCCGCCCCTGATATAGACTGAATCTAGTACAAGCTGATAGATTGGCCACTTTAGTAGATTCTGCACTAAATATTTAGCACTGAAAATTAAATAAGGCTATGTATGTCATATGGTGAACAAGGGACATGTGAGCCAGAAAACGTGGCTGACCTGTGATTCCCAGAGGTCTCAGTGTGTACTCATTCAAGGTAAATCCTTTTTCCAAAGCATGGGCCCGCATGTTCTTGTTGAAGATATCACTGCCAGTGAAGTACAGAACTCCGCAGTAATACTGGTCCTTGGGGATTAGCCTGGAGTGAGAAAGAGTTCAGAACTCAGAATAATCATGCATTAGATACGATACATTTAGGGGTTGATTTACTAAAATGCAAAATGCTAAATCTGGTGCAGCTGTGCACGGTAGCCAATCAGCTTCTAACTTCAGCTTGTTCAATTAAGCTTTGACAAAAAAAAAAAAAAAACCTGGAAGATGATTGGCTTCTATGCAGAGCTGCACCAGATTTTGCACTCTGCAGTTTTAGTAAATCAAACCCTTAGTCTTTTATCCCAACATGCAACTGTAGCCCTCTCAGGAAAACTCTAAGTAATTAAATGCCAGACATTCACAAGCCATTAAAAATGAAGCAGACCGTGTGTTACAATCTGGCTATATAACCTTCTTTAGATCCAAAGTGCTAGATTTTACCCTAGATTTTACACAGCATCCCACTTTTTTGGAACTGGGGTTGTAGTAGTTCGATAAATGCAAAAAATACCTGTTGATCATATCAACATCAAATCCAGAGCAGTGTGCTGTATGCTCACAGCAGGTAATTAGGAGTTGCCTGGTGTTGTGGCAGATCAGCAAGTGTATTTCTGTACTGGTAGGGTCTTTAACCCCTTGGTACGAGCATACACATATATGCGGCCCCACTAGACTAGGCTTTTTTCCTTGGGGCTGAATATCCCAGCACAGAGACCTCCACAGAGGTCTCACAGGGAGCCCCGTACGAACAATCTGGACCCGGAAGTCCGGGTTCTGAGTCACCTGATTGCTGTAATAGCCTCTGATTGGCTATCACGGTGATCAGTCACTGTGAAGCCCACCCCTGTGTTTCTCTCTCTGTGAATGGAGAGGAAAGATACATTGTATTTCTCTCTCTCCTTGAAGAGAGAAAAATAAACCGTGCGTAAAATATATAAATTAAAGAAAGTAAAAATTAAAGAAAAAATATCTAGACCAAGGACAGATCTAGATCAGTGCCAGGGTTAGTGTTTGGGTCAAGAGGTCAGGATTAGTACATTTTTGGCAGAATTTTTTAAATTAATATCAGTGTGTTTTAGGTAGGATTAAAGAAAAGCAAAATGCGCAATATTGTTTCTGGGCTGTACTACGGGTACATACAACAGATCATTGGGGGCAGGAAAATTTATTTTGGTTTGTTCTTTGGTGGTAGAAAATATGGAAGAAGTATACAGCTAAAGTTCACATATACTTCCTGCATAGCCCCCTGAACTAATTAACCCACCTTTCCCTGCCCTAGATGTATTCTTATCCGAATCTCACATGATCTGCCTGCCACAAACGTTATATCCTGTAAACCTTTGCACTACCCGAGCCTGCACAGCTGAACCCTACAGTATTCCACAGAGCCATCTCTTCAGGCATAAAACAACAGGATGTGAGAATTGCAGCCATGGGATTCAAGTAAGTATATATCTTGGGCAGCAGAGGTCAGATGGCACTAGGCAGCAACGATAAGTGAACTTTGTTAAAGGGCACTAATCCTTTAAATGGGTACAGTTATGGCCAAAAATATTGGCACCCCTGCATTTCTGTTAGATAATGCACCACTTAGCCCAGAAAATTGTTGCAATTACAAATATTTAGGCATTCTCATGTGTATTTCTTTTGTTTGTATTGGTATGACCGAAAAAAGTGGACAAACAAAAAGCCAAATCTGACACATTCCACACAAAACTCTAAAAATGGACTGGACAAAATTATTGGCACCTTCTCAAAATGGTAAGAAATAATTGGTTAAAATGGTGAAAAACTGACTCAACCTTCCTTTTGTGCATCTCTGTGTGCCACGTGGAGCTTGGAGAAGAGAAAGAGCAGCAAAGAATAATGATTTGAGAACAAACATTGTGGAAAAGCACAGACAATCTCAAGGCTACAAGTCCAACTCCAGAGATCTTAATGTTCCTGTGTCCACTGATTGTCAAGAAGTTTAGATCCCACGGCACTGTAGCTAATCTCCCTGGACGTGAACGAAAGAGAAAAATTGATTATAGAGTGCAATGAAGGATTGTTTAAATAGTGGCTAAAGAAACTCGATCAACTTCCAGACAAATTCAAGCTGACCTTCAGGTACAGGGTACAACTGTGTCAACTCGCACTATATGTTGCCATCCGAATGAAAAGGGATGCTATGATAGGAAACCCAGGAGAACCTCACTACTGACACACAAACATAAAAAAGCCAGATTGGACTTGCCAAAAGAATTCTGGGGTGCGATGTAGGGACCAGTGTCAGAAAGTTGGGACTCTGCCAGAGGTCATGATGGTTACAACAGGACAATGACCCACAGCACGCATCAAAAAGCACCCAGAAATGGTTTCAGACAAAGTGCTGGATAGTACTGAACTGGCCAGCAATGAATTCAGATCTCAATCCCATAGAGCACCTGTGGAGATCTCAAAACAGCAGTTGGGAAAAAGAACCCTTCCAATCTGAGAGACCTGGAGCAGGAGAGAAAGAAGAGCAGTCCAAAATTCCAGTAGAGAGGTGTAAGAAACTCACTTATGGTTACAGGAAGCCATTGATTTCAGTTATTTCTTCCAAGGGGTGTGTTACCAAATATTAAATGTAGGGTGCCAATAATTTTGTCCAGTCCATTTTTGGATTTTGGAATGTGGAATGTGTCAGATTTAGTTTTTGTTTCTCCACTTTCGTGTCATACCAATACAAACAAAATAATTAAACCCGAGAATGCCTAAATATCTGTAATTGCCAATAATTGGGTGAAATCGTGCATTATATGACAGAAATGCAGGGGTGCCAATATTTTTGGCCATGACTGTAGTTGTAAGGATGGTCAAGACTCCCAGTGAAGGCTGCCACTGTCCAGAGGTGGTGCCAGAACACTTTTCAGAATCAAGGAACAAGCAGGGATTCCAAGAATTGATCAGCAGCAACCTTCAGCACCCTGCCCCTTACAAAGTCCGGCTCATTCCTGTATTGGAGTGTCTGGTTTCTAAATTCTGTAGGAATCAGTCTGAAGACTTACATAATATACAAGATATATATGAGATTTAGAGGAAGGAAGCAGAACTCCCTAGTCAGGTTTATCACTGAATTTCCAACACATTACCTTATATCAATTCTCCGAAAGGGGAACTGTTTGCCTCCGTCAGATGGTAGCTGGCACACGCCCTGCGAAAGGACAGAACATGAGCTCCACAGCAAAAGTATACAGGCAAACAGAATTCTCTAGATAATGAAGGTGGGGCACTAGCAGAAAATGAAAATTGGATGATTTTAAATCAACATGAACCTCTCAGATGAAAAAGGCAAATACAGCTATCACTACATAGGCACACATCTACGGTTAGCTGACTTCTGTTTGCACTCTGAATTGAGTCAGTATTCCCAGAGCCAATGATGCCCCCCCCCAGCCAGTGTAAGAGCCTCTGCTGGCTGCTCAGAAAAGGACTCTTCAAAGGCTTAGTCCACCATTGTTGCCATGTTTCAAGGTACACACTTACCTGAACTGTGGGGTGCATCTCCCTGCAGCCAGCTGATTTTTCAATTTAGTGTGACCATGCATGGCTCTGCTCCTACAACGGCATCATCCATTCACAGGTATCTGATACCGAGATGGAGAGACTCACAGATCCTAATTGAACACAACTGTGGTGACATCACTGCACCAATAATCCCGATTACTCCCCTCAGCCCCATCACGGTAGGTCCGTACCTTTGTATGGAGCTGGGATGTATAGCATGCAGAAACCTGTACATTGCATCCATGACACACTGATCATATTTGCAATGCTCTGCAGGCTTCAATACAATTAGATGTAATTGATAAACATTTTTTTCTTTAATTAATGGTGCTTTTATTACATTTTTGCAAAATGTGGACTATGCCTTTAAATAATAGGGCTCCCTGGGAATACAGGAAGGTATTAAGGATTAATAAAAATGCCCACAGCTAAAAAGGTGCCTCTCCTCTAGGTTTATTATTTGAAAAAAGGCTCTATACATCATAATTCAGAAAATATCCTTAGTGATCAGATATCTTACCATGAATTTAGTGTCTCCCTTCACTAGTGTGTCAGTGATAAATTTGCAGTCTTCCAGACACTGCACTACCTGATGTAAGAGGTGCGGCTGTGAATATAATCAGCACAAAACATAGTTAGAGGCCAATACTGACAAATCAGGAAACAGAAATGACAAGTACAACATGTATTAAAGAATCTCTGCTAACAATACTAAATAAATTCTCTGCTGAAAATGGATACTACAGTTTTTTATTCATCTTACTTCTTTCTATACAATCCTTGGCATAAGTAATTACTCCCTTGGATTTTGTAAGCTAGCATTACAACATGAAATCATTTTGGATAATGGATTTAATTGACATTTACACAGCATACGTGCTACTTTAAAAGTGGAACTTTAGTCAGAACATAACGTCTTGCTAGATCACTTCAGGTTGGCTTCTTTTGCAGTTATTGCTATGTAAAACATTAAAAATAAATGCCTATACTGTTTAAAATCCAGTAATACACTATCTCACCCTACTCTGCACATGCTCAGTTGCTCTCCATTTTTAGGCACTGTGCCAAATTTGTAGAGGCCGATCTGCTGACAGTCTAAAGATTAAAGCAGAACTAAACTTATCAATTTAACAGTTTCGAAAAACAGTTACTTTCCCAGCATGCAAGGAATGCTAACTCACATTTGCTTGTGTTCTTAACCAAACAACTGGTGCTATAACTGGTCACATGTAAAGCACCATGGCAGTTGCAGATCAAACAGATGGAAGCTTCCTTGGCTGTAAAGGATAGGAGGGTTTAGTTCTGCTTTAACTGCTTCTCAGAGCTCTGGGCTTCAATAAAATGACAGCCTCCAGTAATAAGGAACAGGAACAATGCTGGAGGCAATTTACAGCACACACTAAATTTGGTATGAAATTAAGGTGGAATATATATTCCTTGCTAAAGAACATTATTTTTTATCAATTGTTATAGTAAAGTTCCAATTTAAGGACTTGGGTACACATGGATTGCTGTCAAACACAGGAGTTAAGTTTAAATGCAGCACAGCAGTTCAAGCCCTTGTATTTGTACACAAAAAGCTGCATCTGACCTGCTTTGTCTGTAATGCAAAAGCATCTGCAATAGAATATGCTGTGTTTAGAACAGGGGTGTCCATCCTTTTGACTTTTCTGGAAGAAGAGTAATGGTCTTTGTGAGCCACACATAAAATAAACTAATAAGGATAGCTGATGAGTAGCTTGTCCCATCTCAGTTGAAGATCTCTGCAGTTCATTCAGCTACCACTGCTTATTGCTGCTTCTCTGATTAACCCGTTCACTGCCACAGCAGTTTTTGCACACATTTAAACAATCATTTTAGGCCTGAAGATTACAAAAACCCCAAAACATGATATATTTTCTGAAAGTAGACACCTTAGAAAATAAAACAGTGGTACTTCCAATTTTTCTGAAATGTGGTATTACTGCAAAGGTCTAGAACGCAAAATTTCAGTAAAAAAAAAAAAAAAAAAAACACACTAAAGTTAATTTTAAGCTACACAAACACAACAAATTACCCAATTGTTTTGTAAAATATAAAAGATGAGGTTGCACCGAGTAAATAGATAACCAACAAGTCAAACTTTAAATTTGTGTGCCCCTGTGAAATGGCAACAAACCTAAAAATATTTTCTATAGGCAATACTTTAAAAGCCCCCTGTAGGTCATCAGTTTAGCGGTACGGAGGAGGTCTAGTGCTAGAATTATTGCATGTGTAACGCAATCGACGTTTCCAAGTGTGGGCGTCCCAGTACGTGCTTTTACGTTTGTGGGTGCATATATATGTGGGGGGGGATTATATACTTGGCGTACGTGGCACTATGTAACATGTGTACTGCAATTGACATTTACATGCATAGTCACCCCTGATGTGTGCTTATGTTTGTACGCGCCTGAATGCTTCCACCTGACAGGCAGGAGTCTGTCTTGTCAGATTTACACACAATCCCGGTGGCTGCAGCCATTGGGAATGTGTGTAAAACCCCCGCTGTCAGGTCCGTATGAACCTGGCAGCAAAAGGGTTTAAGCACTCTTCATATAATCACTGAGTTTTGGTGAATGGCTTTCTTTTTGAGTAACAGCTATGGGGGTGCTCAGATTTTGGAATAAAATTTTTACATCTCAGACTTCTGATAGCTTGGATGTAAAAGATACATACTTTAACAAACCCTGGGGTCGTCAAGAAAAGGTGTATTTTGGGATTGTGTGAATTTAATGGCAGAAGAGGTGGTTAATATTTATGCACTCCAAGCGTCTACAACTTGCACCCCCCATTTTTCTGTTTCCCTCCCCCCCAACTTGCTGCAACCTGCTGAAGACACAACTTCTCTCACGCTCTTGCATATCTGGCACATTCCCCACCCTCAGTTCTCCTGTTTGAATATAACTGCACATTCTGATTTTTATGCCCCAAACTTGTGTAAATTGTGGGTTCTGTGCTGCCTGACACTATTTTCCTCCCTCACCCCCCCCCCCAATGTGTTTCTAGCAGCTTGGACATCCATGGACATCCTCCCAGAACTAGACAACCGCGCTGTAGCCAGCTTTTGGCTATAACACGGTAGGGAATCGGTTATATTCAATCAGCCAGGACACCTACAGCTGCCTGAATACCTAACAGTGATCACATCTGATGAGATGCAATCACTGACTGGCCAATAATTTTCCTCCCAGCTCCTTCAATTTGTGGCTTTTGTGGAGCTGGGTGGTACTAAGGCATGTATGGCAGGCTTTAGGTTAAGGCTACATTCACACTATAGTGTTTCCTGAATGCGTGTAAAATCGCTGTCTTTCTACATGCATAGAGTAGTCCATTCAATTCAATGGGCTGTCTTACATGCAACAAGGTAGCTCATGCACTTATTTGAGCTTCAAGTATTGCGCATTTTGTTGCGCATAAAGCACGGTTTAGAGTGTTTGGGGTGCAATTAGCAATAAATGTCAACACAAGCGTGACACGTATTTATGTACACTATAGTTTAAATGCAGCCAAATTGTTTCTGGTTAAAAATATAAACACATAATGTAATTACACCTAAAATGCACTATTTGAAGTGCAATCTTGTCGTTTGCCCCAAGCGGCATATTTCCATTAACATCCCTATTCCAAATAACCATTTAAGGAAGGGAAAACGGATGGCATTCAGTATATGTATATACACACAGTATAAAGTGGCATATTTTTAAACCAGTCAAGTTGACATTCACTGCAGTTAATTCTTCCAGTTGCATATGTTTTAAAGTGACAGTGATTAATTCACCACCAGCGAATGTTTTATGGAAGAAAAAAAAAAAATCACATTCCCTGTTTCACAACTATACCCCGAATGTGGTTGATAATACTCGTGAGCCAAAATGTGATACTCCCCTTAACGTGATAAGTGAATAACTAGAATCATAAATAGTTAATGGTGCATCAGCACTTTACACAATACTCATAATCTGTGCCAAAACATAAACATAAAACATAGTATGTATCTACATATACGTGCCGCGCTCCATAATAAAGTGAACAACTCATATACTAGTGATAATTCAAGTAATAACGTGAACAAAATAAATGTGCTTCAAGCAAGTGCAACATATAGTGCATGTCAAAATAATGTTCATCCAATCTGTAAACCGGTAATATAAACAGTCCTCTTTATACTTCTATAATATTTCAGTGACAAGTGGGTGTATTGTGCCACACTCCCCGTGCTCTGTGGATAGGTGTGCGCTCACCTCCTTGTTAGCCAGACAAGCTGGCTAAACACACTTTTTTGTCCTCATATAATAATCTGCTCAGTAAAATGACAGCTCAGTCACAGAGCCCTACCATGTCCTCGATCCCCTACAGTCCGGCTTCCGTCCCCTACACTCCACCGAAACTGCCTTACTCAAACTCTCCAACGACCTGCTAACCGCCAAAGTTAATGGCCACTATTCAGTGCTCCTACTCCTTGACCTCTCTGCGGCCTTCGACACAGTCGACCACCCCCTCCTCCTCAAAAAACTACACTCCCTCGGCCTCAGAGATTCTGCTCTCTCCTGGCTCTCATCCTACCTATCACAACGCTCCTTCAGCGTTACCTATAATGCTACCACCTCCCCCTCACTCCCCCTCTCTGTTGGGGTCCCTCAAGGCTCTGTCATCGGGCCCCTTCTCTTCTCCATCTATACCTCCTCCCTTGGCCAACTCATACACTCTCACGGCTTCAACTACCACCTCTATGCCAACGACACACAAATCTATCTCTCAACCCCCCACCTCACCCCCTTGGTCTCAGCCCGAATCACACACCTACTGAGCGACATATCAGACTGGATGTCACTACACTTCCTTAAATTGAACCTCTCCAAAACCGAGTTTCTTGTCTTCCCCCCAGCCCGGACACCACCCCCCATTGATTTCTCCGTCACATCCAACAACGCTACCATCAAACCCGCCCTGCAGGCCAGAGTACTGGGTGTCATTCTGGACTCCAACCTATCCTTCCAGCCCCAAGTCCAATCTTTAACAAACTCGTGCAGACTCCACCTCCGCAACATCGCCAAAATCCACACGTTCCTAACCCCAGAAACCACTAAACAGCTCATCCACTCCCTCATCATATCACGACTCGACTACTGCAACTCCCTCCTCACTGTCCTGCCTCGCCGCTGGCTATCCCCGCTTCAGTCGATCCTGAATACGGCTGCCAGACTCATTCACCTTTCCAACCGCTCTGTCTCCGCCACCCCTCTCTGCCAATCCCTCCACTGGCTTCCGATTGCGCAACGGATCAAATTCAAAATCCTAACGCTGACGTACAAAGCTTTCCACCATACTGCCCCGTACTACATCTCTGACCTAATATCCAAGTACCGCCCAGCACGCACACTCCGCTCCTCACAAGACCTCCCTCTCTCTAGTTCCCTGGTCTCCTCCTCCCATGCCCGCCTCCAGGACTTCTCCAGGGTGTCACCCATCCTCTGGAACTCCCTGCCCCAACCCATCAGATTATCACCTACTCTCCTCTCCTTTAGGCGCACCCTGAAAACCCATCTCTTCAGGGAAGCCTACCCCACCCCCTGCTAACTTGCCGACCTCCTCCACTCTTCCTACCGCTCCATTCCCCACAGCCATCTCCTCCTGTGCCACCACCCCCTCCCTCCTAGATTGTAAGCTCGAAAGAGCAGGGCCCTTGATCCCCTCATGTTTTGCATTGTATTGGTATTGTTCTGTCACATGTTCTGTCCCCCTTTGTAATGTACAGCGCTGAGCGAACTATTGTCGCTTTATAAATACTGTATAATAATAATAATAATAATGTCCATTAAAATGAACAATGTAAACAACTAAAAGCAGGAAATTGATCAGCAGTATATATGCAGTCAGGATACTAATTAGATGTAAGTGTTGTAGTGGTATATTATTTGAATGTATTTGCAGTAAACAAGAATTAATCACACATAGATTACTTTGTGATTCACTGCTAAAAAAGCAACCCTAGTGTACTCACAGAATTACTCACCTGTTTTGGAGACTCTGAGGTGAAGTCAGGATGAGTGAGAAGAATATCCATATCCCCACTAGAGTCTGCACCTAAAGGAAACAAAATAAGCAAGTTTTCAGGAAATGTAAATTGAGATGAATACAAATGACAAGGTACCGGAAAGCTTCTTGGGCAAGCTTTAATCTACCAAGAAGTGCCAGGGTTTAAAAGATCAGAATGGCCTGGGATCTGGTCATAGCAGCATGGACTATAGGCTGCTGCCACTGCTGCCTACACTGGATACAATTAATAAAAATGTGGCTCACAGATCCGCATCAATGTAAACCTAGCCTCAGCGCTACTCTCAAGTGCCCTCAGTGCTGATGCCTTGACAGTAGGGTATTGGTCTGGAAGAGTCAGAATTTCAAGGCAGGCTGCTTTTGCATGCATGCATTTGAGAGACAATGTGCAGTGAAATCAGAGTAAGCAATATCAGGAGAGAAGAAGAGCCTGTACACTTAACTGTGCAAGACTGAAGTAGGGAGCCTGCAATGGGCAAGTTTAGGAATAGCTCTTATGTATTACAAACTGATAAGGAAAGAGCATTTCAAATTTGAAGGATGATCAAAAAGGGAACAGGTGACCTGGTTAACGGCAGTAAAGGAATATGTAAATCCAGTACTCTAGCTATGCTGGGAACTCAGCCTGTTTTCCTCCAATGATCAGACTTGTGCTGACACGTTTCCCCCCCCCCTGCACATCCATTTATTGGGAAGATCAGTGTGTTGCAATTGCTCTTCCCCTAGCTTATATGCAGCTGAGAACAGAGGGTATGTGATCACTTATAAAGAAAGGGGGGGTATCTAAAATGTTTTTTTATATGTATACAAAAATGTTGTGCTTTCATTCCTATTTTAAACAGAATGGGTTGTTTTGGTGATGTTCAAATATACTTTAATAATTGAGGAAAAATTGAAGAACTTAGCTGCCATGTTACCTGTACATATTTTTTTTGATTCTGACTGGAGTGTGTCCTTAAAGCCATGAGCTGCACTGAGCTATGATAGTGCCTCAATATTGATTTGTTAATTGACTTCCACCAACATATAGCCCTGCTGCATGTATAACTGTTGTAAGGACATTAGACTGCATGCTCCATCAGGGGCAGGGACTGATCTATATGTCCAATGATAAAAAAAAAAAATTGATGGATACCTCTTCTGAAGCTACCACATACTGTGGCGATGTACTCTGAATCCAGATTGTTTACTTTTTCAAGAACAATTTCCTAAAAAGAAAAAAAATGTATATAATTTTTGTGACCATAAAGAGGACAGAAAATGGCACTTGATAAGGCCATATTGTGTACTGGATTAGCCTCTGTGGTAAGCAACTATGACAGGATGTCTGAGGATGCTATTCTCCTCTAAACCCACTACACGTTACAATCTCCTTTAGATCCACTAACTATGTAGTACGAAGGCTTCCCGATTGTATACAATTTCACTGTATAGTATAGGTAGATCCTCACATTACATAGTTACAATAAATTTAAATAAAGATTGTACAAAAACTGTACGGTCAGATTGTAATGTGTATGGTGCGCTTGGGGGAATCAATCCCATTGCCACTCCTAGAAATCAGCAGGAAAACCCCACTGTTACTCTTAACCTCTCTGGCGGTATTCCCAGTGAAGCTCGGGGTAGAGTTTCAGTACCAAAAGCGGTATACCCGAGCTACACTCGGGCTTACCATGCGGCGTTGCTCAGGGATTCCCTGCAGCGCTTACCTTGTCCTTCGCTCCTGCGATTCCCTCCTGCAGCGTCCCCGGCCATCCCCTCCGGGCCGATGCCGGCATCCGGCTTCCGTGTTCTGGTCCCTGTGACGTCGGGACGTACGGGGGCCAGAACTGGCGGCAAATTTAAAAATTTTAAAAACTGTCATTTTTTTTGTAAACGAATATTACATAGCAAAACATTGCTGTTTCAAAGCATTTCACATACATTTTGTCCCTAGTGCTTTGTCCTGTGCCCTGCCTGCATTTTGACTGTTCTTTCTGCCTTCAAACTTAGAAAAGTCCATGGCGTCCAAAAAGCGTCCTTTTAGGTCAAAAGCGGTTTTAGACTGGCTAGAGAACAGCGATAGTAAATCAGAACCACTTGCAGAATTGAGTGATAATGATTCGTGGGGAAATTCGTCATCAGACACTGAAAAAGATTTTGCGACTTTTGTCAGTGATGTGCGAACTTGGCGCTATATTTCAAATTTCAGTGTTTTTGGTTTGATTATATTATTGAATTAAATTTATATTATTTTTTATGATTATTTATTAAATTATAATTTATGATTTCGTGTTTCAAGTTTTATCATACCCGGGATGTTTACTAGACTCTTGCTCGGACAGATTTCAGTGAGTTATTCCTAAAAATTACAGGCCTACAATATAAAAACTACATATTTCCATGCAAAGTAATGGTACCGCTTTCAGCACCAAAATTCTGAAATAATCATACCGCCAGGGAGGTTAAAGAACCAAAGTCACCAATTTAACCATTTCACAAAAGAAAGCTCAAGTTAGAAATGTTGAATAAAGGTTATAAATCAGTAATCAAACATACCAATGTTACTTTCTGCATTTACATTCAGATGACCTGCACATGCACAGTGTATGCTACATAGAAAGCAAAGCAAGCAACAAAGCATGCCTCTCATGATAACTATCAGTTGCCAGTGTGCTTATTATGTCAGCTCTCAATAGATCTTTCAAGCTCAGAATTAGCTGGTGACATAGCTGGTCACGTGTGCAGCATCACGGCAACAGCAGATCTAAACAGGGGCCAAGATGGCACCTTCCTTGGTGGGTTAGAGTGTTTAGTTTTGTTTTAACTGATGGGTTACTTTCCTAACAGAGATCCCTTGTGTACGGGCATACCACAAAAAATCTTTTATTTGCTGGTGATTTTTGTCCGTATAAAGACCTAGTCAGGTCAAAAATGTGATGTGGTCATAAACAATGCTTGCACACATGTATTATATTCACTGAATGGACACGACATTACCTGCATCTTAAGAATTTCTTCTCTGGGAATCCGCATCTCAAAATCCTCAAAGTATCTGAACAAAAAGAAGAGGGAGCCTGAATTCTTCATCTATTCACGCAGACACAATTACTAATTGGTTGTAAAGGCTGGACGTTTTTTACCTTAATGCTTTGCCTTAACTGTGTCTTTTCTTGATCAAGTGCTATGCCCCTCTGCAGTAGCTCTCTCCCCTCTCTGCTCATAAAGGCAGCAGCAGAAATCATTGGCTTCTGCTGCTGTCGAATTCTGTGAGCAGAGAGCAGGGGGTGATTGGCCACAGCTATCACATTGTACAGGGTCACGGAAATTGGCCCTGTACCATGTGATCACTGTGACCAATCACATAGATCACAATAATAAACAATGCTATGATGAATGGATACCATTCATGACAGGTGTTTACTAATGGACGTGTTCGCTGTGATTGGTCACACCGATCACATAGTACCTGGGCCAATGACAGCAGCCTGGTACTGACAACTGTTATCTCCTGTGTCTCGTGGACATCCTCCCGGAACTAGAGAGCACCCACCCAGTCATTTATGTACATTGACTGGGTGGGAAATGGTTAAAATGTATCTAAACCCAAAATCAAATGTGTAATATACTGACGTTTACTCTCTATTTCTTTTTATATGGGGTCGGCAATTGGTAGATTACAGAAGATAGTTTAGAAAGTGATGGGACACTGCATTTCTGGTAAGATCAACAGGTTTTTTTTGCTGCACTGACTTGGCTTTAAAAAAAGAAAAGGAAACTAAGGCAGTCGGTTCAATATATTACAGGTTTGTTCTTGGGTTTAGGAATCGTTTAACTATTATATGATCATTATGCAACATCATCACTATTTATGAAGGTGGACAGCTTGACTACAGTGATTAATCATTGTATTTTCTATACTGAGGAAAAATGAAAAGAAGCTTGCTGGTCATCATTGCTATTTTATTTGGAAGTTTCTTTTCTACAGCTAAACAGGCCAGTTATATGTGTATTCCTCCTTCAGCATTGTAGACTTCAGCTGGCCTTCTGCCTCCATAATGTGCACACCAGCCTAGTCTTCAGCTGCACTACAAAACACCTAAAGCCAGGCCTCACTCAGTTTTACTGTACACAGTTTATGCTACTGCTACCATACTATATACTGCAGTCTGGCCTCCCATCTACCTAATGTAAACGTCCAGGATCTACCTCCTCCATGCTGTATTCTGCGGCCTGGCCACCGATACTATACAATGTGCCTTGTCTCACACCTCTGTACTTTACACTGAGCCTAGTCTTCAACCTCTGTACTACACACTAAGCCTGGTCACATACCTCTATTTCATACAGAGAGCCTTGTCTCCTATTTCTATAGTATACACTGAACCTAGTCTCCAATCTCCATACTATACACTTGGCCTGGCCTACCACTTCAATTATATACAGCTGCTTTCCATCTCCATACTATATATTGAATCTTGTCTCCTACCTTCATACTATTGATTGAGCCTTGTCTCCTACCCTAGAACTATCCATTGAGCTTGTCCTCCGCCCTGTATACTGTACACTGAGCATGTCCTCCTGCCTTTATACTATACACTGAGCGTGTCCCTCCACCTCTATACAGTACACTAAGCTGGGTCTCCATTCCATACACATTAAGCTTGGGCTCTCACCTCCATGCTATGCACTAAGCTTGGCCTATCACTTCCATAGTATAAACAACAGCCTGTCCTCCTATCTCCAATCTATACATTGTGCCTGGCCTTCTACTTCCACAGCATACACAATGGCCTGGCCTCCCATTCCCTTACTATATGGAGTCTGGTATCCCACGTTTATACTTTATATTGCATTTGGCCTCCCACTTTCCTAGTATGAACAGCAACATGTCCTCCTATCTCCATACATGAGATGCATCCTATACAACCATTATGTACAGTCCAGAGCATCATACCCAACTTTAGGGATCTACGACAATGTTATTCAATGTTACTCACTTTAAACCAATCCGTTGATGATGGTTTAATTTATTTTCATTGTTTCTTAGATCTGCAGAGATTAAAAAAAAAAAAAAAAAAAAAAAAAAGGTGATACATTCCCTAGACAAACAGGACTTAAATACTGTATATGGACTTCAGGCAGGCCTGCACTAACTTCTAACTACTGTTAGGGCCTGCCTGGAAAGATAAATGCAGTGTGCTTTAACCACTTGCCTACAGGGCACTTATACCCCCTTCCTGCCCAGGCCAGTTTTCAGCGTTGTCGCACTTTGAATGACAATTGCGCGGTCATGCAACACTGTACCCATATGAAATTTTTAGCATTTATTTTAGACAGAGCTTTCTTTTGGTGGCATTTAATCACCTCTGGGGTTTTTTTTTTGCTAAACAAACCAAAAACAACAGAAAATTAAAAAAACAAACAAAACACATTTTTTCTTAGTTTTTTGTTATAAAATTTTGTAAATAAGTGATTTTTCTCCTTCACTGATGTGTGCTAATGAGGCTGCAGTGATGGGCACTGATAGGCTGCACTGATAGGTGGCAATGATGAGGCACTAGTAGGTGGCACTGATGGGCATTGACAGGCATCACTGATGGGCACTGAAAGGTAGCACTCATATATGGCATTGACTGGCACTGATAGGCACTGTTAGGCACGGCATGGTTAGGCGGCAACTGACACGCACTGATAGGCGGCACTGAAAGGCAGCTCAGATGGGTACTGATATGTGGCAATGATGTGCACTGGTAGACATTGATATGTGGCATTGATGGGCACTGGAAGATGGCATTGATGAGCACTGACAGCTGGCATTGATGGGCACTGACAGGTGGCACTGCTGGGGTTACCCTGATTATCAGGGCACACTGATCATCAGTGCCCTGATGATCAGTGTACATGTCCCCTCCGAGGAATGCCGATTACCGGCTCTCCTCTCGAGCTGTCAGCGCGACAGCTCGTGAGGAGAGAAATGCCGATAACCGGCATTTCCCTATTTACATGCGATCATCTGTGATTGGACACAGCTGATCACATGACCATCTTCCTCATGGTAGGATACCCTAGTATTGTAGAGGGACCTAAAAAATGCACAAAAGACTGAAGAGATCTCCGGAGTGGCAGTTACCACAACATCTGGAGGTCTCCGCAGCTCAGAAATGTAAGTCCGAGGATTCTGTGCCCTCACTACTATAGTAGTCAACAAATGACCCGTACTTTCCCTCTCCTCAAAGCATGGCTGCTGGAGAAAAAAAAAATGCTTCTGTTCTGCCTTCTTGAGGGAAATAGAAGCATAATCCTGTTGCAATTGTTCTCAGTCGTGTAGGTTAACCATCGTGGGATCAGCGAGATATCTGGTCTCAGCCTGTAGAACTTGAATATTTTAGGTCACGTTCCCATTGCTTAGAATGCTGCTTCATACCAGCAATCTGTGCTATAAGGACACCTCTTAAATAAGCCTTCAATGAATCCCAATATGTTGAGGAGGATACAGACAATTTGTTAGCAACACTGTATTCCTGAAGCTCAATCCGTATACTTCCAGGGGAGAGAAGAGTTAACCAATAAGGATTCACCTTCCAAAAGGTATGATTGGGACTTGACCTCAAAAACAATTTCAGGACTAAAAGGGGAATGGTCAGAGAGACCTCTAGCAGCATAGGCAATAAAAAAAAATGAAAGTTAAATATACCAGTTGTTCCCAAGGCTAAATCTATTCTCGACAAGGATTTATGGGTACGTGAGAAGCATGAAAAGTGTCTCTCAGTAGGGTGTTGCATTCTCCAAATATCTACCAATCCAAGCTCCTGAATATATTTAGCAAAAGGCTGTGGTTTGTGAGGGCCCTGGTCCCACGGTAGAGCTATACTTATCCAAGGATGGGTCACCATAATTATTAAAATCCCCCAACAACAACCACGGGACATCTGGCTTGTCTAAGGCAAACTTTATGAGGTCCCTAAGGACATCAGGTGAATAGGGAGGAGGAATATAAATATTAGCCACCAAGTATGGTTTCCTAAACAAGGTACAATACAGAAATACATATCTCCCTTTCACATCCCTTTGGACCTGGCTGCAGGAGAAGTCCACCACATTGGATATTAAGATAGAGAACCCTCTAGAGTAAGAGGTATAAGTAGAGTGATATTGAGTACTAAAAGTAGTGCGTTTTAAATATTTTAGAGTATCTAAGCGAAGGTGGGTCTCCTGCAAACAGATCACAGAAGAAGAATGACATTTCAGAGCAGCAAACACAGCCTGTCGCTTGCTAGGATCACAGAGTCCTCTCACATTCCAGGATATCAAAGTGTCAGTCAGAGTACCCATAATAGGCCAGCCAAAATAGAGTATAGCAAAATGTCCCGCTCCAACTAGCGGAGCCAAAAAAGAAAGAAGAAAAAAAAAAGGGGGGGGGGGGGGAGGTGCATTGGGGGCCTCACGGCATGGAGTAGAATGAGGGGCTTCAGGGCAAATAAAATCAGTACCTTGAAAAGACCAACTCTCACTGTGTTTGAGAACATCTGACATGCAGACCTCTGAAAATTGCACTGACCTCCGGCCCATATCATCAAATGTTCCACCCGATCAGGAAAAACCACAGGCCAAAAAAACCTCCAAAAAAAAAAAAGAAAATAACTGAAAACCATAAATATAAAAATTACAAATGGACTATAAAGAAACTTCTAGGGGGCCAGGTGACCAGGGAAAAAAAAAAAATTAAAAAAAAACTTGTGCTGAATGCGCCTGTACTAGGCACTATAGAAAAAAGGAACACTATTCGCATGGGTCTATATACAGTCATGGCCGAAATTGTTGGCACCCTTGATATTTTTCCTGAAAATCAAGTATTTTCACACAAAAAAGGTATTGCATTAACACATGTTTTGCTATACACATGTTTATTCCCTTTGTATGTATTGGAACAAATATAAAACAGAGGCAGAAAAGCAAATATGACATAATGTCACACAAAACCCCAAAAATGGGCTGGACAAAAGTATTGGCACCCTTAACTTAATATTTGGTTGCACACCCTTTGGAAAACATAACTGAAATCAGTCGCTTCCTATAACCATCAATAAGCTTCTGACACCTCTCACCCGGAATTTTGGACCACTCTTCCTTTGCAAACAGCTCCAGGTCTCTCTTATTGGAAGGACACCTTTTCCCAACAGCAATTTTAAGATCTCTCCACAGGTGTTCAATGGGATTTAGATCTGGGCTCATTGCTGGCCACTTCAGAACTCTCCAGCGCTTCTTTGCCATCCATTTCTGAGTGCTTTTTGACGTATGTTTGGGGTCATTGTCCTGCTGGAAGACCCAGGATCTTGGACGCAAACCCAGCTTTCTGACACTGGGCCCTACAGTGCGACCCAAAATCCTTTGGTAATCCTCAGATTTCATGATGCCTTGCACACAGTCAAGGCACCCAGTGCCAGAGGCAGCAAAACAACCCCAAAACATCATTGAACCTCCACCATATTTTACCGTAGGTACTGTGTTTTGTTCTTTGTAGGCCTCATTAGAATGATGTGCTTTACCGAAAAGCTCTATCTTGGTCTCATCTGTCCACAAGACGTTTTCCCAGAAGGCTTTTGGCTTACTCAAGTACATTTTGGCAAACTGTAGTCTTGCTTTTTTATGTCTCTGTGTCAGCAGTGGGGTCCTCCTGGGTCTCCTGCCATAGCGTTTCATTTCATTTAAATGTCGACGGATAGTTCGCGCTGACACTGATGCTCCCTGAGCCTGCAGGACAGCTTGAATGTCTTTGGAACATGTTTGGGGCTGCTTATCCACCATCCGGACTATTCTGCGTTGCAATCTTTCATCAATTTTCCTCATCCGTCCACGACCAGGGAGATTAGCTACAGTGCCATGGGTTGCAAACTTCTTGATAATGTTGCGCACTGTGGACAAAGGCAAATCTAGTTCTCTGGAGATGGACTTGTAACCTTGAGATTGTTGATATTTTGCCACAATTTTGGTTCTCAGGTCCTCAGACAGTTCTCGTCTCCTCTTTCTGTTGTCCATGCTTAGTGTGGCACAGACAGACACACAATGCAAAGGTTAAGTGAACGTCTCTCCTTTTTATCTGCTTTCAGGTGTGATTTCTATATTGCCCACACCTGTTACTTGCCCAGGTGAGTTTACAGGAGCATCACATGCTTGTAACATTCTTATTTATCCGCAGTTGTGAAAGGGTGCCAATACTTTTGTCCAGCCCATTTTTGGAGGTTTGTGTGACATTATGTCGAATTTGCTTTCTTTCCTCCCTTTTTTTGTTTTGTCCCAATACACACAAAGGGAATAAACATGTGTATAGCAAAACATGTGTTAATGCAATACGTTTCGTGAGAAATACATGATTTCCTGGAGAAATATCAAGGGTGCCAACAATTTCGGCCATGACTGTATCTGCCTAAGCCGAGCTTCTCAAAACTTCCAAAATAAACAAACAAAAAAAATGTCTTTCTTCATCGGGGTTCAAGGTGGATTAAAAGAGCAATCGGGATGCTAATATGTATCCAACCACTGGGTAGCAGCAGCTGGGGTATCAAAAAAATAGGTAGTATTAGGAGCAACCACCCGAAGCCTAGCCAGATATAGCGTGGAGTAATTGAGATCCAATTGGCGCAGCCTTCTCTTCGCATCAGAATATTTCACACGTTGGTGCTGAACTTCAGCTAAGAAGTCAGGAAAGAAAATTTGTGAGCCATCTTCAGAAATGGACCCCTTCTGCCTTGCTTTCTGTAGAATAAATTCACGGCCTTGATAATTAAGCATTCGTATGAAGAAAGTTCTAGGAGGGGCTCCCAACGTTGACGGTCTAACCGGAACCCTATGTTTCCACTCCAAATGTAGCTATGAGCCAGCTTTCCACAAAGTCCACCAGATTCTTACCGTCCTACCATTCAGGGAGACCCACAATTCTGACATTATTCCGGCGTAAGCAATTTTCCAAATCCTCCAAACGGTAGTCATGGCTAGCTAACTTCTGAGTAGTAGACTTAGTAGATTGTAGCATGGGGTGAACAGAGTCCTCC